TGTCTAAAACATGTCTTCTTTGTAGCAGCTAGGCCCTGCCACCACTGTGCTTGGCTGAGTTCACAAATCTCTTGTAACCTGTAGCTTCCCTGTCACTTCTCTGGCTCTCCTCTCCTGCTAAGCTTTGTTTCCTGGCAGTAATTAAAACCTTCTGCCACTGCCATAGCTACTGCTGCTGCTGCTGGAACCACCATAGCCACCTTGGTTTTGTGGTTTGGCAAAGTATTGGCCTCCACCACCATAGGGGCCAGAGCTTCTGCCTCCAAAATTTCCTCCTTTCATGGGTCCAAAATTTGAGGATTGATTGTTGTAATTGCCAAAATCATTATAGCTTCCACCACCTCCAAAGTTGGCTTCCATCATTACCAAGTCTGTTATAGCCATCCCCACTGCCACCATATCCACCACCACCTCGACTGCCACCAAAGCCACCTTGACCACTGAAGTTCCCTCCACGACCAAAGTTGTCATTCCCACCAAAATCACCTCCACGACCACCACCAAAGTTTCCAGAACCACTTCGACCTCTTTGGCTGGATGAAGCACTAGCCATCTCTTGCTTAGATAGGGCTTTCCTTACTTCACAGTTGTGGCCATTCACAGTATGGTATTTTTGAATGACAGTCTTGTCTACAGAGTCACGGTCATCAAATGTTACAAAAGCAAAACCTCTCTTTTTGCCACTGCCTCGGTCAGTCATGATCTCGATCACTTCAATTTTCCCATACTGTTCAAAATAATCTTTTAGGTGATGTTCTTCAGTGTCTTCTTTAATGCCACCAACAAAAATCTTTTTCACAGTTAAGTGGGCACCAGGTCTTTGAGAATCTTCTCTTGAGACAGCCCTCTTTGGTTCCACAACTCTTCCATCCACCTTGTGTGGCCTTGCGTTCATGGCTGCATCCACCTCCTCCACAGTGGCATACGTGACAAACCCAAAGCCTCTGGAGCGCTTGGTGTTTGGATTTCTCATTACCACACAGTCCGTAAGCGTTCCCCATTGCTCAGAATGGCTCCTCAGACTCTCATCGGTTGTTTCAAAGCTCAGACCTCCGATGAAGAGCTTCCGCAGCTGTTCAGGCTCTTTGGGAGACTCTGACTTAGACATGACGGCGGTGGGAGGGGAGACTTTAACGATGCTTACTTTGCGGCGTCCACGGGCAGAAAGAATTTTAAGATTCTTGATATGGATTGCTTTCTAGAAAGCCTTTAGTCATTTTTGCTTTCATCAGTTTTTAGCATTCCTGTTCCCTGCACCAGGTAATATAGAATATTACTATTTAAAAAATTTTGCTGTTGTGACACCTGGGTGGCTCAGTCAGTTAAGCATCTGCCTTCGGCTCAGGTCATGATCCCAGGGTCCTGGGATCAAGCCTTGTGTCTGGCTCCCTGCTCAGCGGGGAGTCTACTTCTCTCTCTCCCTCTGCCCCTCCCCCCTGCTTGTGTTCTCTCTGTCTCTCTGTCTCTCACTTTCTCTGTCTCTCAAATAAATGAATAAAATTTTTAAAAGTAAATTTTGCTGTTAATAATAACAGCTTTCATTTATTAAACCCTTGTTATGTGCTATACACTATGTTAATAACCTAGCGTGGATTATCTCATTTAATCTGCACCCATATTTCCTGAGTTACTCTTTTCCCTTTTGAGAAAATAGGCTCAGAGAAGTTAAGTAGTTTTTCTTAAAACCACACAGCTAATAATTAGCAGAACCAGGATTCAAATCCAGGTTTCTGATTCCAATGCCTATGTTGTGTACACTAATCTATTTTTAGGTTAAGCTTTATATATGCTCTACATAACATGTCATACCTTATCTTTATCTGTTTTATTTTATATTGCATTATTTCAGTGTATTACTGGACTTTTGTTTTTTATTTTCTGATAGAACTTCCTTCTTAGGATGCTATTGATAAATCCTTCTATAAATCTAACTTTCTTTCCCTTTTCACTTATTGAATTATCTTTCTTTTTATATAAAATGTGCCTGAGATCTTTTGGGATGCTAATTTTATATACTTAAACCAAAATACTTGATTCCCTTAGCAATCCCCATGTATGTCAGAGGTAATCCTAATCTCCTGTTGTGTAGAAACTAATATAAATTATACTTAACTCTTGATAATTTTGGAAAATAATTACCTCCTTTGTCAAAGCACATTAGCATATTTGAGACTCTGATAAGTATTTTCAGAAAGAACTCTTTTTTAATAGCATTTTATTTTTTTATTTTTTTTTAAATATTTTATTTATTTATTTGAGAGAGCGAGAATGAGAGAGAGAGAGAGAGCACATGAGAGGGTGGAGGGTCAGAGGGAGAAGCAGACTCCCTGCCGAGCAGGGAGCCCGACGTGGGACTCGATCCCGGGACTCCAGGATCATGACCTGAGCCGAAGGCAGTCGCTCAACCAACTGAGCCACCCAGGCACCCTTAATAGCATTTTATAAACAGACTTGACTACAGAATCCTTACTGCACATTATTTACTACAGTATCCTTTAATCTATCTCAGTAGCAAATTTCCTTCTTTTTTGTGAGACATTTTCTGCTGATTCTTGAAGAATTTACGAATATTAACTAATCTACTTGTTGCTATTATTTTTTATTTTAGTAACTTCAAGTTCCAAGAGAGAAATAACTAACAATTAATTATATAGTATGTGAACTAATGTTAGTTTGTAATCCAAAAAGTGAATAGTTGATTGTCATTTTAAAAGTGATATACTTCACCAGTGGGTTCTTGAATTTATTTTCAAGAGACATGGAAATCCATTTAAACTTCATTTCTGCTTATAGGTAACTATTTCATGTTCTTTCTCCATTATTCTTGTCTCTGTTTTTAACAGCTCTTTTTAAATGCTAACAATAAGGTGGCAGACAAGAACGAGAAAGACCTTGCCAACAAATTACTGACAGAAATAAATGAGGACCAGGTATCTACAAAGCCTGCATCTTGTTTCACCTGAAGTCCAAAATCAGTCAACGGGAGCAACTATTCCTGTACTTTTCTTCTTATGTCTTAAAATATACAAACACTATCTAATTCTAATCTTCATTTATTATTTTTAAAAATTGTTAAAAATTAAAAATAAAATTTTTTTCATCTAAAAGATAAATATATTGAAATCTTGGTGGTTGATATAAATGATCAACAGTATTCCATCTGTATATGTGTGCATCCTTTTCAGTTTAAGGAGACACAAAGTACAGGAATGGAATCCCAATATCAATGCTGTCCACGTGGTGGTGACTTCATATTTTGGGAGCTTCTTTCTTTAACCATTGTGGTGTATTGGAACCTTAGGCTTTGTTTGTGAATATGTGTGGTCAATTTTAATATCTTGATTCTTTGCTTCTTGTTGACAAGTAATGATTATAATTCAATGGACATCCAAATCCTGGAGGAAGGGGAGAAGATGCTGAACTCTTTGAGTCTTAATTTAGCATAAAACTTTTAACTTTCTTTTCTAAAAAGTCACCTCTCTATGGGTATAGAGCAGAGATAAGCAATTTTTGTTGCTTTTCAGCATTAGGTAATTCAGTTTTGAAAAAAACCACATATAAAAACTACCTATTGCTTTGGTTTTTTTTCTTTCCCAAAATGTTTTCAGAGAGCTTACCTGATGTCTTTTATTACTATTATCTTAATACCCAGGTTTATAAATAGAGCTGTGGTATAAAGAGACATGAAAATCTATTATTTTCTGTTCTGGATGTAAAATATCAATTATAGAGTACTGTTTTAGATTTCTCTATAAATGTTAGTCTTAAGGCCTTCTTATGTAGATTAATAAAATATTTACAATGATATTCTTAGAGGTTTATGTTAGTATTCCTAATTGTAGGCACTATGGCCTAGTTGTCTTGAACAAAGTATAGGAAAGATCTTACTCATATTAAATTCTTTATTCAGAATGATTAATGTATATTATGTGTTTATTACATATGCTCTATGTAATAATGTTTAATAACATCAATAAAAATCAAGATATTGGCTTAAATAACTTGCCTAAAAATGATAGACCTTAGCTTAAAATGACAAAGATCTAATCAGTCCTCTTTTACTCAAATCATTTTTAGTGGAAGGGAGAAAGGAAAGTCCTATTCATGGAGTAACTAGTTTTAAGTTATAGTAATATATTCCCAAAAGCAGATTTTTGGGACTGTGAGTTTTTACAACTTTGTACTTCTCCTGCTATGGTTTCATGGTTGATTAAACCTGATGATATAATAGTCATGTTCAGTTTTTTAATGTTGTTAATGTTACCTTTTGTTTTCACTTTTTTTTCTCTAAATGCACGGCCCTGAAATTTAACACATCTCTTTATGATGAAGCTTAAACAGAAAGAGACAAAATGAAGCTGAAGCTGGTTTTTATTTTTTACAGCTTTTGGCATTAAAGGTTGCCTTCTCAAAAACCTGATAATGCTTATAGATACATACTACATTTTCTATTCTGCCTCAAATTTTGCATTTTATGTAAAAATAGATATGCCTTATGTTTGCAAGTGTGATTGGTGAATAAACATACCATTTCAATTATAATACAGGGCTTGTAAACCAAGTAACACCATTTTAAACATCTTATTACACATAATAATGAAATTTCAACCTAGGAAGTTCAGTATATTTCTGAAGGGAAATTAAAATGTGATAGAATTTCCAGTGATAGCCTTCCCTCCCTTCCTCTGGAGATTGTCCATTATTTAAAAGCATGTATTAAGCTTGGTGTTCTTTTTGGTTTTTGTTTTTTTTCCACAACATTTCAAAGTAATGAGTGAATGTGACCTTATCCTTCTTGATACATGGCTTATTTTCTGTCAAGTAGGTAACTTTTCTTGCAGGTATAGTGTTTCAGAAATCTGTTTTATTGGAAGAGGAATGTATGGCATGTTAAGTAATTATTTTTTTCAGGTTTTCAGAATAAAGATTTCCTAACAATACAAATCTTGAACACATTGTTAATTTCTTACTTTTTTTTTCTCTCTCTCTCTCTATGGTAGGTGTTTCAGGGACAGTTGGATTGTTTGGCTATATCAACTATTCAGGCTTTGACAGCAGTAATGAACAAATCTCCAGCTGCTAAGGTGAAACATACATCTTTAAGCTCTAAAATGTTATTTTAGATGAACTAATTTTCACTGTATAATTCCCAAAGTAATGTATGAAAGTATGTATATAATACCTGTGATTTCACACCTGAAGTGAAATAGTTCACAAACTATCTCAGTGTAAGAATCATTTTGCTGATAATTTTAGAGCAAACACCTATGGGCACTACTTTGGGATTATATGATAGAACTGTAATTTTGTAGAGATTTATAGTATCAGTCAACAAAGGTAGCACTGGTGTTGAAATGATCATTTTATGTGATTCTGTGGTTAGCGTGTTTAAAGAATTACATTTTATATCATAGTTTTTCTTCATTAATAAAATAATCACTCTTTGACTATTTGCTCAGTTTATGACTGCCTAGATTGTGAACATTTTCCACATGTGAACAGCCTTATCGGTTTGGGACTTGTTTTTCCAGTTGGCCGTGGAAATTCTGCTTTTTTGTTACTCTCAGGATTTTCTTTCCATCTCATTCACTACCACTGACTTTGTCCTGCTGTTCACTTATGCTGATTTTGTGCTAGTAATTTCCTCATTGAATAGTTTTAAGGATTAATGAGGTCATCTGTATAAAGTGGTAAGCATAGTGCCAGGCACATGATAAATGCTTAATGAATATCAGTATCTATCATCATCATCATTATTACTGTTACCATTTTACCTTCTGTCTGCCACTTCTAATATAAATGGCAGACATGAATGAATTATTCTTTGTTCCCTAAGCCATGCCTTCAGTAGTATTCCTTACTGTCCGTTGGTTTTTGTTAGGAGACTAACAATTGCTCTATAAATGTTGCTATATATAACTCATGGTTAGATGCCTACCAGATAGGCTTTTACAACTTTTACAGGCTGGCTTGGGAATCAAATCCCATTTATAATAGTTGCTATAAGAAAAAAATCATTTTAAGTTCTCAGTAACTGGTTTATGGGTATAATGGATTGGCTGTACTGTATTATGATATTCAGACCTGGAATGATTTTTAAGTCTTACTAAAATATAACTTTTTTATTATGTAATGCTTTGCATGGTTTAAAATTCAAAAGGTTATTTTAAAAATACCCTTTATTGGGGCAGCTGGGTGGCTTAGTCAGTTAAGCATAAGACTCTTGATCTATACCCTTTATTGGGGCAGCTGGGTGGCTTAGTCAGTTAAGCATAAGACTCTTGATCTCAGCTCAGGCCTTGATTTCAGGGTTGTGAGATTGACCCCCACGTCTGGCTCCATGCTCAGCACGGAGTCGGCTTGAGATTCTCTCTCTCCCTCTCCCTCTGCTCCTCTCCCTGCTCATGCTTTTAACTCTTTCTCTCTCTTTTTTTCTCTAAATAAATAAATAGAATCTCTGTTTTAAAAAAGCCCTTTAAAAAATGATTGGTATTCTTTTTTTTAAAGTTTTTATTTAAATTCCAGGTAGTTAGCATACAGCGTAATATTAGTTTCAGGTGTACAATATAGTGATTCAACAATTCCACACAATACTCAGTGCTCATCACAACAAGTACATTTCTTGGTCCCCATCACCTATTGAACCTACCTACCCACCCATCTTCCCTCTGGTAACCATTAATTTGTTCTCTATAGTTAAGACTGTTTCTTGATTTGCCTCTCTCGCTCTCCTTTTTTTTTTTTTTCTTTTTTTGCCCTTGGCCTGTTTGTTTTGTTTCTTAAATACCATGTATGAGTGAACTCATACGGTATTTGTCTTCCTCTGACTGCCTTATTTCTCTTAGCATAATACTCTCTAGATCCATCTGTGTCATTGCAAATGAGAAGATTTCATTCTTTTTTATGGCTAATATTCCATCATATATATATTTATATATCTGTCTACACACACATATACACACTCTCTCACTGTATCTTCTTTATCCATTCATCAGTTGATGGACACTTGGGCTGTTTCCATAATTTGGCCATTGTAGCTAATACTGCTATAAACATAGGGGTGCTGTATCCCTGTGAATTAATATTAAAAAATACCTTTTGAAAAAAGATTTTCTTCCTACCCTTGGCTCACAGTCAACTCTGGGGAGGAGTCCCCAGAGACAACCAGTTACTCATTTTGTTTGAATCTTTTGATTTTGTAGTAAGTGTATAAATTTATGCCTGATTTACTAGACCAATTTAGTATTACTAGCTTTTTTGGTTCTCTTTTTATTTTACTTTGTGGTTTTGTGTGCCCACAAGTTCAAAAATACATATGACTTAGACCTTACTAAAATGAACTTGATGTTCCAGATAATTCAGTGCATTTAGATACAAAAAGCAGAGAGAAAACTCCCCATTTTTTTCTGGTCACTACTCAAAATTGCCAGAACTCTTTAGTCTTCTAGACTGACTCCTGTTACCCCTAAAGTCTCATTTTTCATTTTTGTTTTGACTTCATGTAATACTATATAATTACAAATTATATTACTTAATACTTATATATTAATATTACTTAATACTTATATATATAATACTTAAATTACAAATCAAGTGAAGAAGTAATTGTACTCTAATCTGAAATTAATATAGTAATTTTATAATATACAGTTATTGCTTATTTCATTATATTTTGGTAGATTATGGTCACATCATATTTCAGAAGGTATATGGAATTTATTTTAAGATGGAGAAGTGATCTAAGAAGCAAATATTGAACTCAGTCTTTTCAACATTAAGTTAATTAACTTGAATGGGTATTACCCAGCATTTTATTTTATTTATTTAAAGATTTTATTTATTTAATTAACAGAGACACACAGAGAGAGGGAACACAAGCAGGGGGAGTGGGAGAGGGAGAAGCAGGCTTCCCACAGAGAGGGGAGTCCGATGCGGGGCTCGATCCCAGGACCCCGGGATCATGACCTGAGCTGAGGGCAGATGCCCTTTACTCAGCATTTTAAATATTCCATTAAATTCAGCCTTTGAAAATGTGCTTTGATGTATTTATTTTCCTTCCTCTAGGAAGTATTTAAAGAAAGAATTGGTTATACACATATGTTTGAGGTTTTAAAATCCCTGGGTCAGCCACCACTGGAACTACTTAAAGAACTTATGAATATGGTGAGTTTTTTAGCTTTATTAAACAAGTTCCATTATCTCCATGTCCAAGGTGGTTACTAACCTTTTGTCTTTATGTTGCTTTATAGGCTGTAGAGGGTGACCACACCTCAGTTGGGATTTTGGGCATTAGTAATGTCCACCCTCTCTTGCTTCTTATCCAGTGGCTTCCAGAGCTAGAATCCCATGATCTGCAAATCTTCATCTCTGATTGGCTGAAAAGAATTTGTTGTATTAATAGGCAGAGTCGAACTACTTGTGTCAATGCAAACATGGGACTTCACATCATCAAAACCCTTGATTCCCATTCTTCCCTCCATCGAACTTGTGCTGAGAACTTGATTGCACTTCATGGTTCCTTGGGGAGTCAGTCCGTGAGCTCAGAAGAAATACGTCGACTACTAAGATTGCTGAGAGTGGATGAATCTGAGTATATTCACCCTTATACCACTCCTGTGACTCGAGCAATTCTGACAATGGCCCGAAAACAAAGTCTAGAGAGCGCACTGCAGTATTTTAATTTGTCACATAGTATGGCAGGAATTTCTGTGCCTTCCATACAGAAGTGGCCAGGGTCTGCCTTTTCTTTCAATGCTTGGTTTTGCTTAGATCAGAATCAGTTGACTCTTGGCAATGCTAACAAAGGAGGAAAAAGAAAACAATTGTACAGGTACTGGTACAAGTTATGGAATATAAATGAATACTGTCATAACAGTATATGCTGTAATTCCCAAATAGAAAAAAGCTTTTCAACCACTAATTTTTAAATGCAGAACAGTTTATCTGAAGCCTCTTTATCCTTAGGGTGCACACAGTTTAATTGTAAGTGTTTTATTGCTTTCATGATACTGATTACGACTCACATATTTTGCTAGTTCTTAGGCTAGTTTGGAAAAAAAGTTCCTTCTTAAAAGTATTGTAAAAGTAGAGAAAAAGGAGTAACAAATTTTAAAATGAATGGTGATCTTTGTGTTCCATTGAAAATGCTGTATATTTATATGAAGGATCAGAAAACCTTTGTGTATGTACATCCAAACTTAGTTACTTCAGTAACTAATAATTTTTAATATGCCTTGTGATTTTTAAGACTTCTATTTATGCTTTCTGAATCCTCTTTGAAAGAATTTTGAAGATTTTAAAGTTTATCGTTTTACTGTTGTTTGATAATGGAATTCCACTCATATGGCTACCTTTTATAATTTACTAAACCAGTAAGCCCAAAAAAAGATTTAAGAATTATCTTTGAAGCAAGATTGGACTGACATGTGGCAATAGAATGTAAGCCACAGCATTATTGATAAAGATATTCATGATGACGTGGTTTTGTGTGTTTCAGCGATGATAAAGCTGGACAACTGATTTTGGAAGTTCTTATAATATATATTTTTGTTAGCTTCTTTACAGGAAGTGGCATGGGTTTCGAAGCTTTTATTACCCATTCAGGTATGTTGGTTGTGGCAGTGTGCACAAAAAGAGAATATGCTACAGTTATGCTTCCTGACCACAGTTTCTGTGATTCCCTCTGGGTAAGGTTTTAGGACATCACATTTAACTTTCTGGTTCTTTCCTTTAAAGACACACTTGGTGTATGTACATCAGGAGTTGTCTCCTTTTTGAGAGTTGATTAATTTTACTTTAAAATTCTACGTATGTTGAAGTTTATAAGGAAGTTAATATCATTATCATCATGATTATAAATTCAGTAAGTTTTCTTCTAAAAAATTAAAAGGAAGTGTTATAATTTCTTTCAAGGTTTCTAAAATCAGATTTGATTTTGAAATTCAATTTAAAATGAGAACATAAATTATCAAAAACAATGCATTTCTGTTGCTTTTCTTGAAGTATAAATTGCTTCTCATTAGAAAAATTGATTGTAAAGAATACTCAAACTTGGAAAATGCAGGAAAGAGACTCTGTTACAATTATGTATAAAGTTTCTAGAACAGATGTAAATGCCTTTATAGTACTACAGGAAAAATTGTCATTCTCTTTAAGAACAAAATTTTAACCAGCATTTAAGTATGCTTAAACTCAATGTTCTACTATTAACACAAACTGGTTAAAAGTAATACTCTGAAAACATTGTCATTCCAAAGATTTAATGTAATTTTAGTCTTTAAATGTATGTCTTACTTTATTAGCACAACATAACCATTGTTCACATGCCTGGAAAAAGACCCTTTGGTCAGAGCCTTGTCTATATCTATGACAACGGACAGCAGAAGGTCTCTGCCCCTCTCAGATTTCCTGCCATGAATGAAGTAAGCACATCTAATCTATTCTTTTTTTATTTAAATTCAGTTAATTAACATATAATATATTATTGGGTTTAGAGGTAGAGTTCAGTGACTCATCAGTCTTATATAATACACTGCTCATTACATCACATGCCCTCCTTAATACCCATCACCCAGTTACCCCATCCCTCCACCCAGCTGCCCTCCAGCTACCCTCAGTTTGTTTCCTGTGATTAAGAGTCTCTTATGGTTTGTCTCCTTCTCTGGTTTCATTTTGTTTTATTTTTTCCTCTCTTCCCCTATGATCCTCTGTTTTGTTTCTTAAATTCCACATATGAGTGAAATCATATGTTAATTGTCTTTCTCTGATTGACTATTTGCTTAGCATAATACCCTCTAGTTCCATCCATGTCGTTGCAGATGGCAGTATTGCATTTTTTTTATTTTATTTTTTTATGTTAGTCACCATACATCACCAGTTTTCAATGCAGTGATCCACGATGTCTAAGGAGTATTCCATTGTGTGTGTGTGTGGGTATATATATATATATATATATATATATATATATACCACATCTTCTTTATCCATTCATCTGTCAGTGGACATCTGGGTTCTTTCCATAGTTTGACTATTGTGGACATTGCTGCTATAAACATTGGGGTGCAGGTGCCCCTTTGGATCGCTACATTTATATCTTTGGGGTAAATACCCAGTAGTGCAATTGCTGGGTCATAGGGTAGCTCTATTTTCAACTTTTTGAGGAACCTCCATACTGTTTTCCAGAGTGGCTGCACCAGCTTACATTCCCACCAGCAGTGTAAGAGGGTTCCCCTTTCTCTGCATCTAACCTACTCTTTATGGGACCCATTGATTGAGAACTCTTGAAAATTTTCAGTTTAATGTAGAAGGTTCTGTTTATTTTAAATATGTGCCCATAAATTTTAAAGTGTTTTCTGTATTCTAAGATATAGTAAGTTAATTTTTAATACTATTAGCCTATCATTGTTAGATGAAGTCAGACAACATGTAATAAAAACAACTTAAGGAAGAAACAAATGTAGTTAAAGGCTTAAGGGAAAAAAGAGTTCTAATAGGAAAGCCAAAGAAATTGAATAGAGCAAAGGATCATTTAATAAAGCCCTCCGTGGGGTGCCTGGCTGGCTCAGTCGGAAGAGCATGGGACTCTTGATCTTGGGGTTGTGAGTTCAGTCCCCATGTTGGGTGTAAAGATTCCTTAAAAATAAAATCTAAATAAATAAATGAAGTCCACCAGGTATACAAAATACTTAGAGACTATTATGTTGGACTGTTTTCTATCCCACTGAATTTGAAATAATAATGAAGAAACTTTAAGCCTTTACATATTAAATTGTAGTCAGATACAGGGTGGAATTTATTTACTGAGATTCTTAAAGAACATTAGTGTAAAAGTTCTTTGAGAATTCTTAGATGCTTTTGAAAGAGCCTTTCTTGAAGATAATGAAATATATTATTTCCCAAGTTGTCCTAGGAGTCTAGTAATTTCTTGTTGATGTTCATCCTGATGCTCATTACAGGATTACCTGTAATTAGTAGTATTATACAAATGTATGTTCTGTTTATACATTTTAAAGGGAGAAAAGTAGTAATTTCCTCTATTTTAGAATATAGTAAAATTGTTAGTTTTAAAAAATACTCATTAAAATGTGAGTTATAAAAGTAATGCATCTAAATCCCATAGGCCAAAGGTAACATCTATAATGACTTCTTATGTGTGCACACACATGCAAACATTATGATGCAATAAAATTAAAACTTTCAGTTTTTTTTCCATCTATTTGTTTTCTTAATTTTATGTACTGTTTTATTTTCAATATCAAGATAGAGATGTAATAAAATTATGTTATTTGTTTCTTAATTTTTAGCCTTTTATTTCCTGCTGCATTGGTTCAGCTGGGCAAAGAACCACCACTCCTCCACCTTCCCAAATCCCAGATCCACCTTTTTCTTCCCCCATTACCCCTCATCGGACATCATTTGGTGGAATTTTGTCATCAGCCTCCTGGGGAGGAACACTTGAAAAATCAAAATTGATTACCAAATTGATATCAGCTGGAACCCAAGATAGTGAATGGGGATGCCCCACATCTCTGGAGGGTCAGTTAGGGTCTGTTATCATCTTCTTTGAAGCACTACAGCCTCCTCAAGTGAAGGCATTATATTTAGCAGGTGAGCATGTACAGTCATATTATTTAAACTTAGTTTTTTTTTTTGCCTACATATATTTTAAAGAATATATTTAATCTGAAGAGTGTATTTGTATTTGTAATGGAAACTGAAAGGGAAGAAAAAGCCCACTACATTCCATGCCCCCCACACCTCCAACTTGATTGGCATATTATTGACATAAAACAGGTAAGTTTAAGAAGTACAATGTAATGATTTGATACACATGTATACGGCAAAATGATTACCACAATAAGGTTAGTTAGGACCTCTGTCCCTCACATAATTAGAGTGCTTTACATGTGTTGTGATAACATTTAAGATCTACTGTCTTATTAACTTTTTGGGATATAATATAGTACACCATACTTTATTTGGTAGGCATAAATAAAGCAAATTTTCAGGAAATTTTTCAAATATCATCCATAATAATGTCTGTATTAGTCTGTTAGGACTGCTGTAACACAATACCACAGACTTGGGTGGCTTATATAGTATTTCCTCACAATTCTGGATGTTATAATTCCAGGATCAAGTTTCCTTCAGACTTGGTTTCTGTTGATGACTCTTCCTGGCTTGTAGATGGCTACCTTCTCAGTATGTCCTCACGTGGCGTCCATCTTCCCTTGGTGTATGTGCAAAAAGAAAGATGTCTATTCCTCTTCTTATAAGGGACATCATTTAACCTTAGTTACCTCCTTAAAGACCTTATCTCCAAATATAGTCAGTCATATAATGGGTTAGAGCTTCAACATATGAGTTTGGGGGGACATAATTCAACATATAATATTGCCAGTACTTTTGACAGATTTTAATAAATTGTTGAAACAAAATATAAGCCTGTATTTATAAGAAATCATACGACTCATTCTAAGATCATGTGAGTCTTGTTCTAAAACTTGTCATTTTTATAATTTATATATTAATGTACCTGAAGAAATGAGGACAGAAGAATTAGGAGACCTTGGATAAGATTACAAGCAATTTTTGTTTTGGCTTTTTCCTTTTCTTTTGGCTGTGATTTTAAAGATACACACTGTTATTACTGGATCATAACTATTTTCAGAATTATATCTGTATTCTAGTAGGATGTTCAGGAGGTAAACCTCTAAGTATTCATATATATTAACTGCAGAAGAGCTATTATATGTAAAAATGTCTTTTTTAGGTTACATAGGAGTTTTGAGTTGAATGGGACTGCCTAGACTTTGAAAGTTTATATTAGAACCTTATTACTGTAAAACTCACAAAGTATTTGAAAGTGATCTAAAATCTAAATAAATTCTAAGTTAATAATAAGTCATTTGGTGTAGTCATTACAGCTTATATAGTTTGGATTTTATTTTCATAATTTTTCCAACTTCTGATTCTACTCTTACAAATAATAATTGTCGTATAGTCTTCATAATGAATGTTTTGAATGGCTGCATAATATTTCATTGAATCTATATTGCATGACTTAGGTTGTTTATAATTTTTAATTTGATATAAACTTCAAATATTAAATAATATGAACTGTTGTACTTTTAATGTTTTTCCTTATTTGGATTGGTTTACTTATGATAAATCCCAGGATAAATATTCAAAGTGTTCGAATTTTTTTTGGCTCTCAGTACATGTTGCCTAATCAGTTTCCAAAAGGTGTATACCAGTTCACAGTGCATACTAGTAAAACATAAGTATACTAGTTTCACCACAGCCTCATTAAGATGGAATGGTCAGTACTGTTTCCTCCATTTTTTTATTTAAGGTGGAACCTTGTTGTAATTTGTATTCTTTGATTTTTCAGCAAGTCCTGTTAATTTACTCTTCAGTTTCTGTGATACCTGTTCACATTATTGGCTGATTGTTTTGCCATTCTGTCTTATAAATTTAAATTTCATTAGATAAGCTAATAGGTAAATTTTGTTATATTTGATATTAGTTTTTTAATACCATATAAAATTTCCTTTCTGTAGTGGAGATCAAACCACTCCCCAGCTTTTCTAGGTTTTAGACAAACTGGAGGTGATGTAAAAATAAAACTCATGTTGGTTAGTATGTTTTGACTGTGTTGAGTAGTTTGAAACAACTTAATTTTAAATTTTATCTAATTACACAGAACCAAAGAGGCCATATATATTCAGTGATGTTTGTGTATATGTGTATAAATAATTTTCAGGTCCAAACTGTTTAAGCCCTTGGAAGTTTCAGGAGTCTGACATGGCTGAACTGCCTGGTAACATCCTTCTTCATTACACTGCAAAGGTGAGAGTAAATGCTTGGAGTGTATCTAGTTGTAACTATGCTGTGAACTAAAATTCCTTTTTTGTTCCTTTTGTCATTTCAGTGGATAATTGAGAAAGACAGTCTTGAATTTCCATTAAAAAATTATTAATTTTCAAAAGAAGAGGAGAAGCAATAAAAATTAAGGTGTACTTCTCAACTAGGATTCAAATGTTAATCATTATGTCATCTCAGTAGGATGAGTGGGAATCGTTGTGGTGGGAATTTGTACTAATGAATTGACGTCAGTGAATGAAACTGTTTAAACTTACATTATCCTAAAAAAAATAAGATAAAATAAACTTATATTATCCTACTTTTTTGGAAGGAGAGATTAGACAATTATGCTCAACATTTTTTTGTTTATTTTTTAAATGTATTTCAAGAAAACAAACCAAAAAAATTGAAATGTTTATTTCAGAAGGAGAAAAAAACTACTTACATGCATAGCATGCGTTGTCCTTTTTCCTTCAAAGACCTACCTAGCAAAAGTAATAAAGGTCAGCAAGGGCTGAGGGAAAGATCAAATGTAGAACTGGGAGGAAGAAAAGGAAAAATGGCATAAACAACATTAGCTGTCTTCATTATACTAAACATTGACCCAGAAGATGCTTTTTGTGAGATTATACACTGTAGAATTTTTGTTCTAGGTTAGCCAGCTAGTACATGGTCATAATTTATTACTTTGAATTCTTATTTGTGATATTTGACCTAATAAAATTTACCTATCATTTGTATTCCCCTTTTATTTTGATTAATTTCAAGCCTAGAGAGGTTGAAAGAACAGTAAACTGAAATCATGTATACTCTCCATCTGAATTCACCAATTATTAACATTTTGCCATTCTTGTTGACTTTGTCTCCAGTCTTTTGTGAAGGCAGATTGACATAGCTATCAGACACTTTACCCCTAAGTATTTCTATGTAATCATTAACCTACCTAGGAAAATTATCAATAACTTACATACTATATAACTCATTCAGATTTTCCCAGTTTTCCCAAAAATATTTTGTTTAGCCTTTTAAAGACTTAAATCTGGATCAAGGTTATGCCTTGCATTGGCTATAATGTCTCTTGGGCCTCTGACTTTTTTCCAGAGTTATGTTTGTCTGCTGAACTAGACTTGAAGTTATTTTCTTTGCAGGAACTATATCATATACTTATTTTCACTCTGTTATAAGTAGATAGGAAATAATTGAATTTAATCTCACTAATGTGTATTTGGTAATGTATTTGGTATCTCACATGTTCTAGACGTGATAGCTAATGGAGTCTTTCTGACATTATGGTTGTCATAGTCTCTTTTCAAATTTAAACTTGATAACATTAAGTTGAATTTTTACTATTGGAATTTCCAGCAGTAAAAATTCTGTAATAAGAAAATAGCTGGGGCACCTGGGTGGCTCACTTGTTAAGCATCTGCCTTTGGTTCAGGTCATGAACTCAGGGTGCTGGGATTGAGCCCCACATCTGGCTCCCTGCTCCGCGGGAAGCCTGCTTCTCCCACTCCCACTCCCCCTGCTTGTGTTAATTCTCTTGCTGTGTCTATCTCTGTCAAATAAATAAAATCTAAAAAAAAAAAAAAGAAAGAAAATAGCTATTACTGTTTTTCTTTTTTTTTTAAAGATTTTATTTATTTATTTGAGAGAGAGAGAGGAGTTCAGAGGGAGAAGCAGACTCCCTGCTGAGCAGGGAGCCCGATGTGGGACTTGATCCCAGGACTCCAGGATCATGACCTGAGCCGAAGGCAGTTGCTTAACCAACTGAGCCACCCAGGCGCCCCAGCTATTATTGTTTTTCTTCAAGAAACTCAATATGACAAATATATGTAATAAACGGTTTCTTGGAAGACTATTTTTTGAAAATGGTGATAATACCATGATATGAGGGTTCTGTGGTTAATAGAGTTTGGGGAAATGTATTCTGTACACCCATTTTGGAGATTGATGATACACTTGAAAAATCTTGTTAGAATCTTGTTAGAAACTAGTTTACTTTTGTTTTATCCTACTCTTTCATCAGTTATTTGAGCATAGAACATGTTCTGTTTAATCTCACAAGTGCTAGTCTGGGAAAAGCTGCGCTAGAGGATTTTTTTGACAGTCAACAATTTTTCATTTTCATACTCATTTGTAGGAGGTGTTAAACCATTCATTGTTGATAATTTTTTGTGTCTTCTCCAAGCCAAGAATTGTCCTGAACTTTTGGGGGATATAAAGATGAATAAAGTGTTTGACTTTAAGAAGCTTGTAACTTAAAGTGAAGTAAATATATAAAAAAAATAAGTGCAATATAATTTTATGAGCATTTTTCTTTTTAGCTACCATTTATTATTTACACTATATTAAGCACTATGCTAAATGTTTTACATGTATTGTTTCACTTAACCCTTCACAAAAACTCTAAGGGGTATATGGTATTGCCTGTGTCTTTTATAAGCTCTAGTTTTCTGAGGCTCAGTAAAGATAAGTAACTTGCCTAGCTTCATAATTCTAGTGAATGGTAGTGCTGGAGTTAGAACTCAGCCTATTTAATGCACATTCTTAACCACTATACAATGTTTCTGTGTCGGAATTATGTACAAAATACAGTGAGCAACAAAGGAGAGTGGTTGGTTCTTTCAGGAGGTTAGAAGACTGTGTTTTAAAAGGAAGAGTTGAGTAGGGATGTGCCAGGTGTAGGAAGCAGCATCTAAAAGGCACATACTGTAAAACTGGGATCTACATTTTTTGGGTTTAGGGCACTAAGCCAGCAGGAAGCGAAGATGGCAGGAAATTAAATTAGAGGGCACATGGAGGCCCGATGATAGCAAACCTCCCATGCCAGACTAAGTAGGCAGTGGACAGGATTTTGAGGAGAAGAACAAAATATGATAAGGTTTGCATTTTAGAAAAAGGTCTCAAGTTGCACTATGAAAGTTGGGTTGGAGGGATAGGAGATGGGAGGCAGCCATGCCATTAGGAGATATATTGTGTGAGGACAGGTCATAGATAAACAAGACCTAAACTAAGGTAGTAATGGGAGAAAGACATTTCTGTCTCTGAGACTAATATAGTTTTACATTGAGTTAAATGTAAACTCAGCTTACATTTGTTTTATTAAAGCATTTTTTTCTCAGTTGCCTTAAGAAGAAAGCAACTAATGCATCATTTGTGCTAAAATTTGTAGGGTTTTTGTTTTTTGTTTGTTTTTTTTTTGGAATGGTGGTTGGATTCAAGGATGCTTCATTATCTGCAAATTCACAGACTGTGAAGTTATATGCTTTATAATTCTTTATCGAAGTTAACAAGTTTGACAATTTCTAGAATGATGGACTAGACTCTGAGTATGAATATAACCAGAATTGTCAATAACATGAAAGAAAATAGTGTCTTATGCCTGTGATTGGATTTTTATATCATATTTTTCTCTTTCGTGATTTCTATATCACATACACATATTTTGTTTGTATCAATGAAATTATGCCTAGCGAAATACTGATGGGAATAAAGCATTGAATTTTTTGAAGAGCCAAAAATCTGTTTGCATATATTAGTTTAAAACTTTTATTTTTAATTTTTTTAACTTCACAGAATTAATTTAATTGAAGTATAGTTGACACACAATGTCACATTAGTTTCAGGTGTACAACATAGTGATTTGACAAGTCTGTATGTTATGCTGTGCTCACAACTGTAACTACCATCTGTCACCATACATCATCACTGTTACAGTACCACTGACTATATCTCCTATGCTTTACCTTTTATTCCTGTGACTTACTCATTCTACAACTGGAAGCCTATATGTTCCACTCCCCTTCACCCATTTTGCCCATGACCCCCTCCTCCCCTTCCCTCTGGCAACCGTCAGTTTGTTCTTAAAAGAGAAAAAATTTTAAACTGTGGTGATCGGTGAGTAAGTTGTTGCTATAACTCATCGGTCAGATGGCAAGCAGCAGTGACTTACTTTTGATGAGTGAGTGCTTTAGAATCTAGTCCCTCATTCTTTTAAGAGGCAATCAGAATAGTAATACTAAACTTCATATTGTAAGCATTTTATCATTGACTATAATATATACCCTTTTAAATTGTGGTGAAATGTTTCATATATAGTTAAAATTATGTTTTGTCCTCATTGTGCTTAGATGTTTGCTGTATTTTCCTTTTATTCTTAGGCCTGCAAAAATTCAATCTGTCTTGATTTATCTACTAATTGTTTGCATGGAAGATTAACAGGAAACAAAGTAGTGAACTGGGACATTAAGGTAAGTTAACGATGAGCAACATATTATGTAAGTTTACTGATCCTTTTAAAGAGTTTATCTTTTAAGCGCCACCAGATTGATCTGAGTAATAACTCCCAGTGAAAATTTTTGCAGGCAAGATACACAGTTTAAAGTATAAACAAATAAGTAGTTGAATGATTAATTTGCTTGAAACGTAGTTACCTTCTTAAACTCTGTCATGAATTTAACAGTTTCCTTAAGAAGAATATACTGCCTTGGTTCATTGCTTTACTTTTAAGGTATTTAATCCCTGGCAGATTTCAACCCCTCCTAACCTCTCAGGGACTTCATTGATTATCCTTTTTCTCCTGTATCACATACTTTTGTCTGTAGTCTCCTGTCTATTAGCTTTAAACACAGCTTTCTGTGAAGCTAAAGATGGGTGACTCTTCCTCTTCCCCACATCCCCCTCTAGCTTGTCTGCCTTCTTGATGTGCCTTGTATTTATGTGTCAGTTGGACATAATGTCTTTGGTTCTAAGAGACCTCTGCTTATTTTCCAAGATTGAGTTAACTGCTCTTGTCATGAGTACCTGTAACACTTTATCATTTCACTTACTGTGAATAGTAACTTGCTTGATAGTTTGCTTGCTTTGATTCTCTAGTAGTCCTTCAGAACTTCGAAAGGAGGTACTATGGCTTTTTTTCACTAGTGCCTCGTACAAGGATATGCAATAACATTGTTCACTGAATTATTAAATTAATAAAGGTTATTTAGATTAATATGAAAGTCAAGTTGGAGATACCCTAGTCCCTTGCAAGTTATCTTAAATAGAAATTATAGCCTAAGTAAAATTAAAAATACAAAAGATGGTTATAAGGCAACTTGCTGGTAAATCAGAACAATACCTTTTATCTTTTTTTTTTTTTAAGATTTTATTTATACATTTTAGTGAGAGAGCACAAGCAGGAAGAGGGGGAGAGGGACAGGCAGATTCCCAGCAGGGAGCCCAATGTGGGGCTGGATCCCAGGAACCTGAGATCATGACCTGAGCCGAAGTCAGATACTTAACCAACTGAGCGACCCAGTTGGTACCTGGTACCCCTCTTTTTTTTGTTAAAGACTTACTTATTTGAGAGAGAGAGTGCACACACAAGCAGGGGGAGGGGCAGAGGGAGAAGGATAAAGAGAGAATCCTCAGACTCCCTGCTGAGTGGGGAACCCGACACTGGGCTGTCCCAGGACCCTGAGATCATGACCTGAACCGAAATCAAGAGTTGGATGCTCCACGGACTAAGCCAGCCAGGAGTCCCCAAAGTCCCTTTTACCTTGTAGTCAGTTAACACCAATCAAATATGGTTATTGTTTCAGTGGATCAGAGATCATTAGGATCTTGCCAGTGTAAAATGAATCTATCAATTCATGTTAGTCTCATGTTATTCATGTGGTATAAAGCATTTTTCTCTTTGAGATGAGACCACTTAATTTTACCTGTTAAAATAGTAAGATTTATGACATTTGTCCATTCATAAGTTAACTTCTGCTGTCACTTATAAGATTGGCTTTAAAGGTTAGTTGCATGTATTATATAGAAAGCTGTTTATTTGTGCTGTACATTATACTTGAAAATTAAAGTAGTTTTTGGGGCCTTGAGTTACAACTATGGGGAAATCAAATGGGAACAGAATTAGTAAGAATGTACATTGTATTCTTTTTCCTTCAGAAAATTATATTTTACTTTTTTTTGTTTTTGTTTTTTTAAGAGGTTTTTAAAACTAGTTTCAGAGGTAGAATTTAGTGATTCATCAGTTGCATATAACACCAAGTGCTCATTACATCAAGTACCCTCCTTAATGCCCATTACCCAATTAAACCTTCTCCCACCCGCCTCCCCTCCAGCAACCCTCAGTTTGTTTCCTAGAGTTCAGCATCTCTTACGTTCATTGTATTTTTACACTGCAACAAAATCAAACACAAAAATAGTTAAATGACAACTGAGAAAAAAATACTTGTCTTCCAAAAAGTTAATTTACTTGCTAATACCTTAAAAATCAGTATGAAAAACAGGCAAAAAGTATGAAGAGGGTTGTTTAATCAATGAAACTGAGTCTAGATGGTAGATCAGAACATGTTAGCAGTTAGTGATGGCTAACCGCGGGTAGTACCCAGTTGTCAGACACTAAGCACTCATTTATTAGCTTACTTAATCCTGGTACCAACTTTACAAAGTGGGAATTACTATTATCCTCATTTTACAGATGAAAAAATTGAGGCCAGAGAGATTAGTAACTTGTTAAAGAATATGGACTGTATTTTGTTAAGCTATGCAAAACAAAATAGTCACTTTGAACTTCGATTGAAGCCACCCACTTCACCTTTTTTGTTAAGTGAAAGGAGAGGAGTCAGTCATATTTCTACCACCAAATGTATTTTTTTCTTAATTTATTTTGTTGTTCATTATACTTAATTGCCTTATGACAGTTGTTTCCTCATATCATTAGTGTTACATTATAAAGTTTACTTATGGGGTCAAATTTGGATTGCCTGTGTTTGGAATCCCTAAACTTTGGGAAACAAAGGTGCAGTAAAAATGGTCTGGCATAGTCTCAGATATTGATTATGGTGACCCCCATGGCTACTCTTTAAAGCATCTGCCCAAACAAGGCTTCCTTTAGCTTAGATTATCCTGTACGTTGCCCAAAAGTTTAGTAAACTGTAACCTCGTACATGGTTGTGTGAATATTAAATGACAAAATTGTCCTTGTTTTCTAAGATTAAAAAATTGTAGTTTTCTTTTTTCAGGACATCATAAACTGCATAGGTGGATTAAATGTACTGTTTCCTCTGTTGGAACAAATCAGCCACTTTGGTGAAGGACACATTTCTGAAGGAATGAATGAAAGCACAGTTTCTGAATTAATAACGCCTGTAGAAGGAGATTGGGTCATATTGACCTCCACAAAGGCATCAGGTATTAAGATGAAATTAACACAAAATAGTCGTTGAGAAATTTGATAATTGAAAAGTAGATAAAAATGTCTTGCCACCATTAAGAAGAAACTTAACCATTTGTAGCTGAAGCAGCCCATCCCTAATTTTACTAATGTAATTCAAAAGTTCATAATGCCTTAGTCAAAAAAATTAGGAAGTTGGTTTTACTCTTGACTATCCTTAGTTTGTACTATTAGTGGAAATATGACAGAATTGCTAAATTTATGGTAGAGAAAATATTTGCATGTGTATGTAAGTATATGATATGCAGTCACTGCTTTCTCTGATACTTGCATTCTGCAAGTGACCTTTGGAAGCAAATTGCTCAAATTTCTTCTTTGTTACAGTATGCATTATAACATAAAAAATGTGATGTAAAAGTGATTAATTATGATAATTAATGACATGTTCACAATTCCTCAGAGTCAAGATTAGAAAGAAATTTAATTGCAACATTTATCTTGATTGTGAAACACTTTATTCAAAGACACCCTATCAACCAGGACAATCTTATTCACTCTCATGGAGTTGCCACTCTTGGTGCCTTACTTCAGAAGGTGAGCTAGTTTAACATTTGTAGATGTGGCTAATGATTGTAATTAGCAGTTTGTCTTTAGGGTTTTTCTTCTTACTAAGTAAATGTTTTTTTAAATAACGCTATTATGGTTTCAGTTATATTAGTGGATGTAATTTTATTTCACAAGCAGATTTTTATTTTTTTTAATTTTTATTTATTTTTTTTAAAGATTTTATTTATTTATTTGACAAGAGACACAGCGAGAGAGGGAACACAAGCAGGGGGAGTGGGAGAGAGAGAAGCAGGCTTCCTGAGTAGGGAGCCCGATGGCGGGGCTTGATCCCAGGACCCTGGGATCATGACCTGAGCAGAAGGCAGACGCTCAATGACTGAGCCACCCAGGCGCCCCTCACAAGCAGATTTTTAAAGCTTACTTTGGAATCACCTTTTTACAAGAATTACTCATCTTATATAATAGTATATAATCTTTAATATATAGGACTTTGTTAGTATTGGTATTTGGGATATTTGATTAAGAGTGTTTTAGGAATATGACATTAGGAAAATAGGTTCTAGTGTACATTGGAAAATTAAAGTTTAAGTTGTTTATATTTTTGTGACTGAGATTCTCATATAGTGATCTGAATTAATCACTTGAAATTAAATGTAGCTTAATGATAATTGAAATATACATAACCCTTATCTGTTTGGATTTCAGGTGCCAAGCTCCTTGATGGATGTTAATGTACTGATGGCAATTCAGTTACTAATTGAACAGGTATCATTAGAGAAAAATATACAGCTCCTGCAGCAAATGTATCAGTATTTACTCTTTGACTTCCGTATTTGGAACCGTGGAGATTTTCCCTTTCGAATTGGTGAGAGCAGTCTGTTGGATCAAATTTTACATTTGTTTTAGAAATTTATAACTACCTGTGGGATTTTATTTTAGGTGTTTATTTAAGAGTGAACTTTGTATTTTAGGTCATATACAGTATCTTTCCACCATCATCAAAGACAGCAGGAGAGTTTTCCGAAAGAAGTATGGTGTGCAGTTTCTCCTAGATACACTTAGGATTTATTATGGGTATGATGTCCTTGCTCCTTCTTAGTTTGATATTGTTTTCTGCCTGCTGGTTGCTTGGGCTGTTTAGATTATTGATAAATTCTAATATCCTTTAACTTAAGAAAGACAAGAAAGTGTGGAGGTTAAGATGATGAACAGTGGATCGCATAGATTGGGTTTGAATCTTGTGTTTCATTAATTGTCTGGCTATAGGCAACTTAACTTTTCTGTGCTTAAATTTTCTTCTCTGTGACAAGGAGATAATAAACCTATGTTTATTTTGAGGATTAAACTAAATGCATTAATAACATGTAAGGCACTTAAAATTATGTCTGCCACTTACTGTTGTTTAAAAATAAGCTGTTTTAACTATTTATATCTTTGTCATTGAAACCCAAGGTTTTCCTTAAAAGGAAAAAGAAAACAAAGATACCATGAATTCTGATAATTACATGGAAGCATCTTTTTTTTTAAACTATGAATTCTTTTGTACAAAAAGGCACTAAAATGTAAACATTTCATATTTCAATTCTTGCACTTTTACTTTCTCTTTCAGGAGTGATTGTAAATATAGTGAGCTGTCTCTAGATGACGTTCGAACAATAAGGACTTCTTTGTATGGACTAATTAAATATTTTCTGTGCAAAGGTGGAACTCATGAAGAGATACAGAGTATTATGGGTTACATAGCTGCTATCAATGAAGAAGAACAGGTATTATGCCCAAGAAAAGTCTGTTTTTTCTTTTTCACACTTAAGTTGCTATCTCATCTCCTTTTAAAATTGCACATATATTAAACATATTTTTTTTAATTTTTTTTAAAGATTTTATTTATTCATTTGAGAGAGAGAATGAGAGAGAGAGAGAGCACATGAGAGGGGGGAGGGTCAGAGGGAGAAGCAGACTCCCAGCTGAGCAGGGAGCCTGATACGGGACTCGATCCTGGGACTCCAGGATCATGACCTGAGCCGAAGGCAGTCGCTTAACCAACTGAGCCACCCAGGCGCCCCACATATATTAAACATATTTTAACAGTAAAATGTTTATTATGTGAAAGACAGTATTATGCAGTTAAAGAAGTAAATTTTAATCTCCTAACTGAAAGTTTAATAAAATAGACGGCAATACAATAAAATATTTTAGTTAGCTAGAAAGTAGTATCTGGAAATAATTGTTCTGACAGTTCTGAAGCCTGTTTTCATAGACTACATCATGTATATTTACCTATCATCAAAGGTACTGGGCAGATTTGTAACATGAATTTTAACATAGGTTCATAAAAATTTTTCATAAAGAGTAAATTATATTTCTATTTTTAGATACTTCTACATACATTTTTCATTTATACCTCAGAGCTACTCTTTAAGAGAATGGTTCTCAGTGTATGGTTCCTGACCAGATTTACCTGGGAACTTGTTATAAATGCATACTTACTGAACTAAGCCTTCCAGGTGATTATGGTGCATGATAAAATTTGAGAACCACTGATGTAAACTATACAGACCAGGAATTGATCTTCCCACTTGCACATTTGGAGTACATATTCAGATAGATTAGGTGACTTAAAAAGTCAGAGCGCTGACAGACCTGGGGATAGAACCCAGGTGTATTTACTGCTATTTCTGTACTCTTTCTGTACACCACTCTCAACACCAAACTTGAGTGTCCTTAATTTACGTTGATTCAAATATTTTAGCTCTTTGATGAAGTATTCTTTGTGTACTTAGATATTACATGACTTCATAATTGATATTACATAGATGAGTTAAGCTATTTCCCCATAAGGTTAGACTACTTCAGAAGCTTCTTTTTATCTAGAATAACCAGTAGCCATCTTATTTCATGATAGCTGTGTTGTCACCCACTGTGATTCATTGCCAGTGATATTTTCTTGGTCAATTCAGTCAACGAGGTATTTATTGAAAGCTTACTGTATACATAGAGTAATACTAGATATTATAGGTATGTTATAATGAATGAATTAGCATTCTCTTAGCCTAACAGAGGCAAGGGTGGATAAGAGAGGTTTATAAATAATTATGAAACAAACAAAAAAAGACTATGATAATAACTATAAGAGAGAAACAAAGTCCTATGAGGTTTTCATTGGAGAGTATTGCATGTTGAGGAGACCAGGAAAGGCTTTATGGAAGACATGGCTTTTTATGTGGCTAAAGCAATATAGGTATGGCTCAGTAGGTGAATATGCATATTGAGAGGATATACAAAAAGAAATAAGCTAAAAGCATAATGGTGGTAAGGGGCAGGGCTATTTCAGAAGACATCAGACCATTCAGTTAAGCTCTAAAACATGAGTGTATATAGGATTTAGTTTAAGTAACTGTTTGTGGTTTATCACTTTATTTGTGCTTCCATATATGAGTGTGATTGTTTGTTTTGTGTTGTTTAATTTTAAAAGCTCTTCGGAATTTTGGATATGCTCTTCAGTCTCCTCTGTACCAGCCCCACTAGAGGTCAGCTTTTCTTACTGCTGTTTGAACCAGGAAATGCTGACATACTTTATGCCTTGCTCTTAAATCAGAAGTACTCTGACAGACTAAGAGAAGTAGTTTTTAAGGTACAAACATTTCTTAAGCATCTTTATATTTGGGGACATTTGTGAGTATATGATTTTATTTGTAAATATCCATTTTATGAATGTAAATTCTTTTTTCATATCTACTCTAATTTTAAATTGTTGTAGGGGTACCTGGCTGACTCAGTAGGATAAGTGTCCAACTCTTGATCTCAGTTCAGGTCTCAATCTCAGGGTCATGGGTTCAAGCCCTGTGTTGGGCTCCATGTTGGGCATGAAGCCTACATTAAAAATTAATTAATTCTTCAGTCTGTTTTGATATATATTTTTCATGTTTTGAACATTTAAAAACTAATCATATTGTAATCTGATCAGTTTAGTGGAAAATCCACTTTGTTATATCATCCTCAGTATAAAACCTCTCATTTCCCTTTTTTGCCTTTTTTTAAAAAACATTTTTTTAATTTGAGTATAATTGATACACAAGTGTACAACATAGTGATTCTACAAGTTTATACATTATGCTATGCTCACCGCAAGTGTAGCAACCATCTGTCACTATACAATGTTATTACAATATCACTGACTACCTTTTATTCTCTGTGCTCTTACCTTTTACTCCTGTGACTTACTCATTTCATAACTAGAAGCCTGTACCTCCCATTCCCTTTCACTAATTTTGTCTCATCTCTCTTTTGACTTAACTGTGGGTCTGTGTGGCAGGTCAGACATTTTAGCAGTTAATTATAATCACTAACCTTATGTAGTACCCAGTATTTGTCAGGCAGTAAACATTCTTCTATTAGCTAACTTAGTCCTTTCAAAAACTTTATGAAGTGAATATTATTAGTCCCATTTTACAGATAAAGAATCTGAGGCCAGGAGGTTAGTAACTTGCCAAAGGATAATGAATATATTGTTGAGCTATCCAAAGTAGTCACTTTGAGCTTCACCCACTTCACCTTTTTGTTTAAAAAAGAAAAAAAAAAAGGAGTTAGTCATATTTCTACTTATTCATTATGCCTGATGCGCCTGTGACATTTGTTTCCTCTTATATCATTAGTGTTACATCATAATGTCTACATGTGGGGTCAAGTTTGGATTGCCTATGTTTGGAATCCCTAAACTTTGGAAAACAAAGGTGCAATAAAAATGATCTGGCATAGTCTCTCATGAGTGTTAATTATGATGACACCTGATGACACCTCTGCCCAAACAAATGTTCCTGTATGGAGATTAAATGTTAATTTCTCCAAATTGTGGATTGTTCATCATATTATTCTGCCCAAATTACCCTTTCCATAGGGTTTCAGTATGTCACTTTTAAAACGATCTCACTTCAAAAAGTATGGGATTACTAATTCATTCTCCCATTTTGGCATATGGATGTGCTTCACAAAATGTTTCCTTGTTCTTGAAAAATATTTTGATAACTGTTACATAAATGTTACATAAATTACTAGATTGATCTTGAAGTATCTTTTTCTCTTTCATAACATACTTTTGTTTTTCATGGAGGCTATAGGGCTTGTTTCTATCTAAGCCTTAGCCATTAAAAAGGAAGTTTTAAGTTATTTCTTTGATCTGCAAGAAATATATGTAAACTACAGTTTTAAACATATTATTTAAACAAATGCATTTTAGTTCAATTTCTTCTTAAATCTATTTTTTAATGAGAGTATAATACGGAGTATTGCTCTCTGTTACTTCTGGGTTTGTTTGTTTGTTACACTTAAGGAATAAAATGATGCTCCAAAATTATGCTTGTACAGTAACATTATATTCAATATTAACTTAAGTGACAGAATGTTCTTAGTTCTCTGTATTGAGAAGTATATATTACTGCTGTGACCAGGTTATGGAACAAATGTTGAAATGCACAAATGTTTATGAACGAAGTAAACAACGTATTCGGCTCCGAGAAGTTGGCTATTCAGGATTGGGACTTCTTCTTAATGAAGCACCCATTAATACCTCTCTCATTAAAAGCCTCATCAATCAGATTATAAATACAGGTATGACTAAGGCTGATAATACTGATATATTTAAGAAATGGTCTTCATAGTAGCATAATTCTATTTGATGGTTCTCAGTTTTTTTTCTAAAGGGTTTTTTTCCCTTTTCTTCCTCAGGTTTTTAAATTACCTATTATTTGATTCAGCAGGGCTTTTTTTGGGTACTATTTTTTACTTACCTTTTTTGTTTTTGTCTCCCCAGGGCATAGCATAGTGCCTTAATTGGTAGGCCTTCAGTAATTGTTTATTGATTGATCAGTAAATAATTGAGTCCTCTGTAATAAGAAAAGGATGCTAGAGAAAATACACACAAAACATTCTTTTTCTTTGGGGAGCTTAAATCCTTAATTTCAGATATTCTTTCAGATAATCTTCTTAGTTTCTCATTTTTTTTTAATAAAACTTTTTTAGTACTTACTACAAACTAGTGTTTGTCAGATGCTAAGGGTTCAAAAGGTATAAAATAAGGTTCTTTGTTTAAATGGTTTATCTTCTCATTGATAAGGACATAACATATAAGATACGTACATAAAAAGATAAATAATAATACAAGAACAAAACAGTATGGATAGTGTGTTCAGGCAACCAAAAGAAAAGAGCAGTTATTTAGGGCTTACTCAGGAGGCTGTCAAATATTCTAAATCTATTTTCTTTGTAAAATTTAAACATATCTATAATTCTTATTTTATTTTTTTAAAGATTTATTTATTTTAGAGTGCACGAATGGGGGGAGGGGCAAGGAGAGGGAGAGTGAATCCTCAAGCAGACTCCCTGACACAGGGCTTGATCCCAGGACCCTGAGATAGTGACCTGAGTTAAATTAGCTGGTTAATCAGCTGAGCCACCCAGGAGCCCCTCTATAATCCTTATTTTAAATGAGACAGTTATGTCAGCATTTATATAACTATTACCCACAGTTCATTCTTTGAGAAAGAACTTGAAAAAGGAGAAGATAACTGGAAACATCACAGTTCTTGATTTCAAACTACACTATAAAGTTATAGTAATCAAAACAGTATGGTACTAGCATAAAAACACACATAGACCAGTGGAACAGAATTGAAAGCCCAGAAATAAAACCATATATATCTGGTCACCTAATATTTGACAAGGGACCCAAGAATACTCAGTTGGGGAAAAACAGTATATTCAATTAATGGTATTGGGAAAACTGGATATTCATATGCAAAAGAATGAAAATAGACCCTTATCTTATACCACTCACAAAAATTAACTTGAAATGAATTAAAGATTTAAATGTAAGCCCTGACCCATGTAACTCCTAGAAGAAAACATGAGGAAAAGTCCTTGACATCTGTCTTGGCAATGACACTAAAAGCACAAGTGGTAAAAGCAAAAATAAACAAGTGGGACTTTATCAAACTAAAAAGCTTCTGCACAGCAAGAAAAACCATCAACAAAATGAAAAGGCAGTATACAGGGTGGGAGAAAATAGTTGTGAACCAAATATCTGAGAGGGGGTTAATATCTAAAATATATAAGGAAATCATACAACACAGTAGCAAAAAAATCCAATTAAAAAATGAGCAAGGTACTAGACACATCACTGGGAGCAAGAGAAACAAAAGCAAAAATGAACTTTTGGGACCTCATCAAGATAAAAGCTTCTGCATAGCAAAGGAAACAATCAACAGAACTAAAAGGCAGCCTATGGAATGGTAGAACATATTTGCAAATGAGGGTTAGTATCCAAAATCTGTAAGGAACTTACTAAACACCCAAAAAACAAATAATCCAGTTAAGAAATGGGCAGAAGACATGAATAGGCATTTCTCCAGAGAAGACATACAGATGGCTAACAGACCGATGAAAAGGTGCTCAACATCACTTATCAGGGAAATACAAATCAAAACCATGATGAGATACCACCTCACACCAGTCGGAATAGCTAAAATTAACAACACAGGAAACAATAGGTGTCGGCAAGGATGCGGAGAAACAGGAACCCTCTTGCATTGTTGGTGGGAATGCAAACTGGTGCAGCCACTCTGGAAAACAGTATGGAGGTTCCTCAGAAAGTTAAAAATAGAACCACCCTACAATCCAGCAATTGCACTACTAGGTATTTACCTAAAGGGTACTAAAATACTGATTCAGAAGGATATTTGCACCCTGATGTTTATAGCAGCATTATCAACAATAGCCAAACCATAAAAAGAGCCGAAATGCCGAACAACTGATGAATGGATAAAGAAGTGTGTGTGTGTGTGTGTGTGTACACACACAAAATGGAATACTATTCAACCATCAAAAAGTGAAATTTTGCTTTTTGCAATGACGTGGTTGGAGCTAGAGTGTATTATGCTAAGTGAAATAAGTCAGAGAAAGACAAATACCATATGATTTCACTCATGTGGAATTTTAAGAAACAAAACGGGTGAACATTCAGGAGGGAGGAAGAAAAGAGACGGGGAAACAAATCATGAGAGGCTCTTAGCTTAGAAAACAAACTGAGGGTTGACAGAGGGAGGTGGGTGGGGGATGGGATAGATGGGTGATGGGTATTAAAGAGGGCACTTGTTATGATGAGCACTGGGTGTTACATGTAAATGATGAACCACTGAACTCTACTCCTGGAACCAGTATTGAACTGTGTATGTCAGCTAACTAGAATTAAAAAAAAAAATGAGCTAAGGGCCTGAATAGACATTTTTGCAAAGACATACAAATAACCAGTAGGTAGATGACAAGGTGCTCCACATCTCTAATCATTAGGGAAATGTAAATCAAAACCAGAAGGAGATAGCACGTCACCTGTTAAGATCGCTTTTACCAAAAAGACAAAGGATAACAAGTGCTGTTGAAGATACGGAGAAAGGGAAACCCTTGTGCCCTGTTGCTGGGAATGTAAATTAGTGTGGCCACTGTGGAAAACAGTATGGAGGTTCCTCCAAAAATTAAAAATAGAACTATCATATAATCCAACAATCCATCTTCTAGTTATATATCCAAAGACAATGAAATCACTATCTTGAAGAGTTACCTGCATCCCCATGTTCATTGCAGGATCATTTATAACAGCCAAGACCTAGAAACAACCTAAATGTCTGCTGATGGATGAGTGCATAAAGTAAGTGTTTGTGTGTGTACACACAGACACACACACACGTATATAGAATATTATTCAGGGGCACCTGGGTGGCTCAGTCGATTAAGCATTTGCCTTTGGCTCAGGTCATGATCCCGGCCTCCTGGGATCGAGCCCCACATCGGGCTCCCTGCTTGGCTGGAAGTCTGCTTTTCTCTCTCCCTCTGCCGCCCCTCCCCATGCTTGTGCGTGCTCTCTCTCAAATAAATAAAATCTTAAAAAAAAAACATTATTCAACCATTTGTAACAGAAGAACCTGCAGGGCATTATGCTGCTAAGTGAAATAAGTCAGAGAAGGACAAATACTATATGGTCTCACTTATAGGTGAAATTAAAAAAACCAACCTACTGGGGTGCCTGGGTGGCTTAGTCGTTAAGCGTCTGCCTTCAGCTCAGGTCATGATCCCAGGGTCCTGGGATCAAGCCGCGCATCGGGCTCGCTGCTTGGCGGGGAGTCTGCTTCTCCCTCTCCCACTCTCTCTGCTCATGTTCCTGTTCTCACTATCTCTGTGTGTCAAATAAATAAAATCTTAAAAAAAAAACAAAAAAACCCAACCTTCTAGAGACAGTAGATTGGTAGTTGCCGGGGCTGGGGGTGGGGGGCAAATGAGTGAAGGTGGTCAAAGGGTACAAGCTTCCAGTTATAAGATGAATAAGTTCTGGGGATCTAATGTGCAACATGGTGACTATAGTTAATATTATATACTTGAAAGTTGCTAAGAGAGCAGATCTTAAAAGTTTACCACAAAAGGAAAATGGTAACTATATGAAGTGATGGATGTTAACTAACCTTATTGTGGTAATTATTTTGCAGTATATACATATATCAGATCATCATGTCGTACACCTTAAATTTATACACTTGTTTTATGGCAGTTATATCTCAGTAAAGCTAGAAAAAAAAAGAATATCTATTATTGACAGCAAGAAAAATAAAAATGAAACAATTATTTTATTATCTAACTAGCACTCACAGTTCTTCTTTGGCTATCTCTGGAATTTAATTTTAACTTTATTTTTTCCCACCATAGATCCTGCTATTAATTTCAAAGATCTGTTGTCTGTGGTATATATATCTCACAGAACACATATAAATGTCAGGGTGGTTATCTGCAGAAAGGTTAGTAAACTTTTAAGATACACTTTAAAAATGACAGTATTGTTATACTGTGAACAACTTTCATATTGAGTATTTTACACCGGGTATAAGTTTTAATTTCTGTTATTTAACACAATTTTATAAATAAGTAATTTTGTTTTTTGAGGTGAATTAACTTCATGTAATTATAAAATCATCATAAAAATGTGTTCTTAGCTTTACATGGTCTCCTGGAAATATTCCCTTTCCACAGTAAAAAATTTATTATAAGAGAATAGGTTTTTTTGTCAAAAATCTTCAATGATTATGACCATTTCAAATTCATATACCATATTTTAGAATTTCTGAATCTTTTGAACTTTATGGAAAAGTAACAGTGACTTGCCTTCAATGCATCCCTTTAACTAAGTCAGGAAATAGTTATCCTATGTGCTTCTTCCTGATTATAGCCTTCTCTCTCTTCCACTAGCAATCACTGACCTATTTAATTTGCTTCCTTGGTTTTCTTTTTAATTTTACTTCCTAATTATGTTATTGTATTTTTCCATCAGTAAGTCTGGTTGTATATTTTTCTCTTTAACAGCTGTGTATAGTTTTTATTCTGTGGCTGTTGTATAAAGTATTACCTGGTTCCCTGTTCATGGACATTTAGGTTGTCTCCTGTTTTTCTGTGTTAAACTTCTGTTAAGAACTTTTTTACATATATTTTTACCTGGTTTTGGTAATACGTCTGTAGGATATAATCAATGAAATGGAATTGCTGTGTCAGAGTGTATTCACATACCACATTTTGATGGATTTTGGGATATTGTTCTTTAGCAGGTTATATAGATTGATCCTTTCCTTTCAGTTTGAAAACAGCTTTCAGTGCAGCCTAGTTTTTATTCATTACATGTATATAAAGTAGACATAAAATAAATCTTATTTTATGGAACTTTTAAAGTCATAAAATCATGAAAATTTCTTTACTAAGGAAAAAAATTGATATTCTCCATCAGTAGAGTAATGGTAGCTCACCGATATAGCATTAGTGAGGAAAGGAGCTTCACGTCATTGTGACTCACTGTGACTTGTTGCTTACTATATCAGCATCAGCATGCATTAGAGCCTGTGCTAGTTTATAATCCAGTTAAGAACATAATCTTTTGAAAGTATGTCTTCCCACAGTTTCTCATTAAATTACTTTGTCTCTAAGATAACTGAAAAGAAAATGTTTTTGATGTGAAGTACTGTGTACTTTTTGATGAATTTTGTATTCTTAATCTTTGCAGATTTTACAGATTTTGCAGTCCCAGCCAGATGCAGCACATCAAATATCTCAACAAGTGGGTTGGCAAGACACTTTAGTTAGGCTTTTTTTAAAAACAAATTTTGAAAATGGAAATACTCTCCATAAGCACAGTAGGGCTGTTTCAATGAAAGACAGTGTTAAAAATTTCTCAGCTGAAGATATTAAGAGGAACTTTGATGAAAAGATCGATGAGGAAAAAATCAATTCTTTTGCCTCAGCTAATGTGTCTTCAGATCAGTGGAGTTTAGAGGATAGACACTCTCTAGACTCACACACACCATTATTTCAAGAAGATAGTTCTGTGGGAGAATTATCTTTCAAATCAGAGAATCAAGAAGAATTCTGGAATAATAACCCTTCACATTTGAGTTTAGATCTCAGTGGAATAGACTCATGTGAACTGAGTGACAGTGGAAGTCACATGCCAGACAGCCTGCCTAGCACGCCATCCCCAATAGAATCTACTAAATCATTTTCTGTGCAGTCTGACAAAGAGAGCAGCGTCATAAGTGATCCAGGGTTTGGTGATGACTTCTCTTTACTTGAAAGCCAAGAGGTAAAATTCCTTATTTGTCCAAATGCTCTTTTTATTTTCACATGTCTATTATATACTTCTAACCCTTAGGAATGTGTAATTATTAACAGTTTCATATTATATTCATGTTCTAAGTCTCATGATGTAAGATTTTGGAAACCTAGAAGTCACTAAATTATATCTTGAGGAAAGCAGGTGTCTTATTCATCCTCATATCTCTAGGACCTACTTAGCAAAATTCCGGGTTTATCAAGACACTTTAAAAATATGTTAAATGATTACAGTCAGTATATGTGATGGTTCTTTTTGTGTGCTTTTAATACCACCTCCTTCCAATAATTTAATATTAGTTTATCTTTTTTATAGAGATGTGAGGAGGAGCTTCTTCAGTTACTGACAAATATTTTGAACTATGTAATGTGTAAGGGACTAGAAAAGTCTGATAATGGTACTTGGATTGAACGGGGGCAAGTGTTTTCAGCACTAACTAAACCAGGAATATCCAGTGAATTACTTCGACCCTCAGATGAAATAAAATTAATGTAAGCATTCAGTTGGTGAATTACTCTTTCCTTTGGGAGTGGATGGGAGTCTAAAATAGTATTTTTTATTGAACATTTATTCAGGATTCAGTGGGTGTAGTGAGAGAAAAGGAAAAACTTCGTGCTCAGCCCCTTTTCCTCTCTGTTACCATTTTAGTGGAATCTAGAGAGAAATCCAAAAGTGTGAGGAGATTTAAATCTTTAGTTTGGGCTTCAGTGATTATATATTCCTTGTTTAAACTAGTTTTTGTAATATCTAAGCATTTGGTGTATTGTGTTCTGCAGTCTTGTCCAAGTTTGAGAGTTTCCATGCTGAGGGAAGCAAGTAGTGTTTTCATTAAAATTACTTCTCTAAAGCATTTAGAGTTCTCTGCAGGGCTAGACCCTCTGTGAGACATAATAAAGCTTTCTTTTCTTACCTTCCCAATTTCCAGCTTTAAAGAAACTTTTAAGTTACCTCATAGAGACTGGAATTTGAATTATTTCAATAGCTTTTTTATAGTTAAATAAAACGATAGCTTTTACTTTGCCTTTTGTATTATGTTTATTAAAGATAGATACTTCAGAGATTAAAAAGCTGCTTCATTGTTATTAAATGTCCTCTGATCCCTGCCAATGATAGTATATCTTTACAGACATATTAATGAATAACTGGGTTTTTTTTCATGTTTTACTATTTTTCTAAACTTAAAATGATTTTAAGACGATTTTGTTTTGCCCTTAGTTTGCTACAGAACATGTTAGAATGGACAGTCACAGAAAACAGAGAATCAAAAACGAATCCAGTAACTGCTGAAAATGCCTCCCGACTCATCCTGATCATACAGGACTTTCTGCAGTCAGAGGGCCTTGTTAATTCAAACATGTGGACTGAGAAGGTGCAGTAATAATTCTTTGATATTATTTTTCTGGTAGTCAAGGACTTTATTCAACAAAAAAAATTTTGTACTCCCTCTTTTTAGAGCATTAATATTTAATCAGAACAAACATGGATAAAATGTGGTAGTTAACCAACTTTGTTAGTTATTACTAGGATAATTCTTTTGCCTTTTACCAATTGAACATTGAGCTAGTTTTGAAATATTTATGATATGCATTACTCTTGGGGAAAACTCATCAGTAGACTTTAAAACAGAATGTTTTTATTTCTCAATTTTTCCCTTGTGATAGCTTTTAGACAATCTGATGCTACTCTTCGATGGTCTGTCAGTTTGGTATTCTGAAGGTCAAGTATGGGCAAAACTGCCTCAAATTCAAATCCAGTTGCTTCTAGGATTCATTGGAAGGGGAAATTTGCAGGTTTGTCAATTCTTTTGCGTTATTTTCTATACTTTGCATGCAGCATAGAAGTTATTTGTGTAATGACTAAATGATAATAAATTTTCAGTATTTTAATTTTTTATTAGTTCCAAAAATATCCATGATTTCCCTCTAGTTTCAGTTTTATTAATCAGAAAAAGGTTTCAGAGGCAGCTCATTGATTGTTTCTTGCTGATGTATATGACTCAGTATAATTTTAACTTTTTAAAGGATTTATACATAGCTTATACAAGGAGATGTTACTCATATCATCTATATTTAATGTAACTAGGCCTAGCCGATTTATACATGTTTTTGTACATGTGCAGTATAAGTCTTATATTTTTAGGAAAATTCTTTTTTGTTTCAACTTTCAAAATCTTTTTCTGTTTCTTTATTAATCTACAGTTTTACATTATATCTCATATTTTTTTAATTCATCAAACACTGAATACCCACCAAGTATGAGCATTGTGTTAGGTTGTCAAAATATAGATAAATAAAATATGGGCCCAAGGAACTTTAATTATTTCTATTTTTAGTTAAAAATTTTAAAGGTTGGAAAAGTTCCACATGAATTTTAGTCTGTCATCTTTCTATTTACATTGGAGAACCTGGCCTGGATTAATCATAACATGTATCCCATTGCTATTTACCTGGTCCTTTTTATTTTCTTTTGATACTGGAATTTTAAGTATTTGGTAGGGGTGGGGATGGTTTCTAATATACATAAACTTACTGTAATGTTGATGAGAACATGGAGAGATTAAAATTCCATAAGGTTGCTATATTTTCGAAAGGTCATAGTTTTCATTGGGTATTTTTTTCTAATTGTAAAAGTAACATGTGCTCATTATGGAAAATACACAGAAACATGAAGAGAAGAAAATAATCCATTATCCCATAGCCCAAGAAGAAATAACTGTCAATATTTTTCTATGCATATATTTTTTCAGATGATTGAAATCTTCACATATTTTGATAATGATAATATGAATAGTAATATGTTACTAACTTTTTAAAAATAGGATTTTTTTTCTTAATCATAAAAGTAGCAGGTGTTCATGGAAAATACAGAAAAGCTAAATAAGTAAGAAGATGGGCTTTCTGATATGGATTGTGGAAGCTTGAATTGTGCAGCCATTCAAATGCAATTTGAAAATATATGAATTAGGTACTTAAAAAAATGATCACACTCTGTCTAGTAATTCCACACTAAAACTATATCCTCAGATAGTAATCCAAAGTACCAGACAACCTTTGTACACATAGTTGTTCATGGGTAGTATTCCATTTTTCTCTACCTAGAAGTAGAATAAGGATAGTTTTGGGGGCTTTTTCATTAGTATCAGCCTCATGGCTATTAAAGCAGTTGCAGCAAGCATGCCAGGTAGTTATTTTAGATATGAGGACTCTTTTTTTTTTCCCCACTTTTAGTCACCCTCAGTGTTTATCTTTGATGAAATTTCCATAAATAAAATATTTGTTTAGTTTGTCTACCATTAAATATCCAATGTCTGTCCCATAGTAGGGCTGTATAAATACTAGATAAATAAATATTCAAATGGGCACATGCACCCACTGTTTATAGCAGCAATGTCCACAATAGCCAAAATATGGAAAGAGCCCAGATGTCCATCGACAGATGAATGGATAAAGATGGTGTGGTATATATGTAGGTACAATACATACATACACACACACACACACACACACACACACACACACACACACACAGAATGGAATATTACTCATACATCAAAAAGAATGAAATCTTGCCATTTGCTATGAGGTGGATGGAACAGAAAGTATTATGCTAAGTGAAATACATCAATCAGAGAAAGACAAATACCATATGATTTCACTCATATGTGGAATTTAAGAAAAAAAACAGATGAACATAGAGGAGGGGAAGGAAAAATAAAATAAGATGGTAACAGAGGGAGGCAAACCATTAAGAGACTCTTAACTATAAGAAACAAACTGAGGGTTGCTGAAAGGGAGGTGGGGGGGGATGGGGTAATTGGGTGATGGGCATTAAGGAGGGCATGTGAAGTGATGAGCCCTGGGTGTTGTATGCAACTGATGAATCACTAAATTCTACTTCTGAAATTAATAATACAGGATATGTTAATTAAATTGAACTTAAATTAAAAAAAAACCTGAAGGTAAATAGAGTACAGAACCTGTAGATAAGATATCTTGTTTACCAGTAGTTAGTAACCTAACACATTTTTTACTAGCTAGTTGTTTAATTTTATTCTCTCAGGAATAAAAACATAAAAGGCTGGGAAAGCAACTTCTCCCCTTAAAGGGGTTATAATAGAGCTTCTTCGCCAATCTGGCTACAAACTTGTTTTGTTTTGCTCATACTTATTAGTTAAATGCCAGTATAAAAGTATTAGGAGATGTCACATAAATGTTAACATTTCCTAGCTTGTCTCTAAAGCAGAACTAGGTAGTTGTTGATTTATTTAGTGCAGCATGTGGTCTCCATTTTGTCCCCAGTTGTTGTAGCTCAGCCAGTGATGAGAATATGAAATCACCCGGAGGAGCTTTTTAAAAAATACCTTTGTGGGGCATCACCCTTAGTAATTATATCAAAATGGAGGAACTAGGGCATTGGTATTTTTTGTAATTTCTCAGGTGACCCTAATTCAGTACTCTTTATAGTGGAGGTAGGGGGGTCATATATATCCATATATAGTATGTGTATGTATCCAAAATTAAGACAGTGGTCAAATAAATTATCTTGTATTCATTAAAGGTATCTTTATAATTTTAAATAGATACATAAGCTTATAGTTTATTTAATACCATGATGTTAAGTTAAAAACAAAGCACTAGATATTCAACTTTCTATGTAAACAGTATTTTAAAAAACACATAGCAAAAAAGTCCAGAACTATTAGCATTGGCATTTCCTGGATGATGAGATTTTATGTCCTTTTTTCTTGTATTTGTTGGTCTCTATTAGAATTAAGTTGCTTTAGTCACATTCAACGACTAAAATGAAGGATTGAGGAAAGTCTGAGGAGAGTAGAAAAGTTTCACCAGTAGAAGCTTAAGTTAAAGGTACAAAAGTTAAAGTCTTGAGCCATCTTAGATATTATTTCCTCCAGTGCTATTTGCCTTTTTAAGGCTTGTGTGGAAAGACTGCCTAAGGTCTCTTATTGCCTTGGCCTGTGCATACAGCTGTGCATGTAGCTCAGACTAGCGTTTGAAACAAATACAGTCATGAAGTGATGTCAGATTCTGATACTTTCCTCTTTTCTCTTGGTTTTCTTCATTTTGAAAGTAATAAGTTCCAACATTGTAACATAGTGATAAGTGAGAAGGAGATAGTTTATATCATTTGTCCTACCATGGTTTTATGGCTTAGGTTTAGCCTGGACATAAGGAGACCCCATTTATGACCTAATTTACCTTCCTGTGTTGGGGTTAAGGCCAACGTTTAATGGTAATAACAGAGGATTCCTTTGCCTGGGCTTATTAGTACATGTATTTTCCTTGGGAATTTTAAGGATAGCGACATTTCTGTCAAGGACTCAGTCTCCCTTGTACCTATCCTTTATGTATCATAATGCTTTGATTCCAGATAACAGAAGCATCAACCCAAATTGACTGAGTTTAGGAGATTTATTGACTCAGATAATAGAAAATTCTGTAGTTCAGTTTAAGGCATGATTTAATCAAGGCTTCAGTTCCATTTATTTGCTATTTTCACAGCACTCCTTTCCCTCGTGTCAGCTTGTCTTAAGCTGGCTGCCTTTGTCACAAAATGCTGCCAATAGCAGTTGGTGCTACATGCTTCCTCATTTATATCAGATAAAGAGAGTGCTTCTGGGGTACCTGGGTGGCTCAGTTGGTTATGCATCTGCCTTTGGCTCAGGTCATGATCTCAGAGTCCTGGAATGGAGCCCCTGCTCAGTGGGGAGTCTGCTTCTCCCTCTTCCTCTGTCCCTCTCCCCTGCTCATGCTCTCTCTCTCAAACAAATAAATAGAATCTTTAAAAAAGAGAGAGAGTGCCTCTTCTTACTGTCACTGTTGGTAGACAGTTCTTCATGGATCTCTTATGTTTCTGCATATCTTATAAATAGAGACACTAGATGTCTTTGTTATGAACTATCTTCTTGAGGATGCAGGTATTGTGCACAACTTTGGAAGACAGAGATTCTGTCTCCCTTCAGAGCAAAAGGCAGGTTTGTTTACTGTCTAGTATAATAAAGATAGTGTCTCCAAGGCAAAGTTCAGGCTAACTTACAGCTGGCATAGAAGATTTAGGTTCCTTATGCTTGGGGTTCCTCCCCTATACTGCAGCCACTGGGTGTGCATGCATCATCTAGTCCTGTTATCTCTGCCCATGGGAATAGCAGTTCAGGGTACCAGGGCAAATACTGATATTCTGGCTGTTGGGATTGCTATAGGTCTTTGGCTCTGAACCAGGAGTCTCATGTTTTCTGCCAGCATCTCTGAAACTGTGGCAGGCTCACTTATTATCTTGGAGGTAAGGCAAAATCTGAGACCCTTCACAGTTCTTGACAGTTAATAGTAAAATTCTGAACTTGAACTGATAAGGCCATCCCCAAATGAATCTGTGACAAAAGCAGCAACATGAGTTGACTGAAAGATTAGTTACCTGAACCACTCACTGTGGAAAGTGGTTGAATATATGTTTGGCTTACATCTTTTAGGACTTGTTGGAACTAGAGATGGAATCATTCCCTTATCCTTGCAGACTATAAGAAGGATGTTGGGGTGATTAATTATCCACTCCTCCTTTTCTGTATATTCTGCTTTTATAATTGATTTAAAAAAACAAAAAAACAAAAAACTTCAGGAAGAGCCAGAGAACTTTTGCTAAATGTCTGCTTTATTCTGTTCTCACCTATACTGTTTCCTCAGGTTTGTGCAATGGCATCAGCTAAACTAAACACCCTTCTTCAAACCAAAGTGATTGAAAATCAGAATGAAGCATGTTACATTTTAGGGAAGCTGGAACATGTTCTAAGTCAGTCAATTAAGGAACAGACTGAAATCTACTCATTTCTGATTCCCCTGGTCCGTACCCTGGTTTCCAAAATCTATGAGCTTCTCTTCATGAACTTGCACCTGCCTTCTTTACCTTTTACCAATGGTAGCTCTTCATTTTTTGAAGATTTTCAAGAATATTGCAGTTCAAATGAATGGCAAGTTTACATCGAAAAATATGTAAGTTTTATCTATTTTGAGTGAAATTTTTCTAAGTTGTCATTTTTATAGAAGTCTATGTTAAATTTTCTGTATGTATATGTATATATTTATAAGATCGTGCCTTACATGAAGCAGTATGAAACCCATACATTTTATGAGGGTCATGAGGACATGGCACTTTATTGGAAGAATTGTTATGAAGCCTTAATGGTGAATATGCATAAACGAGACCGGGAAGGAGGAGAAAGCAAGCTTAAGTTTCAGGTAAAAATTATTAAATGTTTTTAGTATCTAGTTTTTTTATGTTGATTTCAAGCTTTTAATATTCAAATAAGAGTAAAAACAAGTCTGAACTCAGAATACAAATGGTATTTCCTGTTGTTTGAAAATTATTTCAGAATTGAGGGTACCTGGACAGCTTGGTCAGTTAAGCATCTGCCTTCTGCCCTAGTCATGATCCCAGGGTCCTGGGATCAAGTCCTGTATCAGGTTTCCTGCTCAGCAGGGAGTCTGCTTCTCCCTCTGCCACTCCCCCCTGCTTGTGATCTCTCTCTCTGATATATAAATAAAATCTTAAAATTATTTCAGAAGTGAAAGAAAAAGACTGATCAGTAACAATTAAAAAGTTAATGTCAAAATGTTCTATGCATAGTTGATATGTAAAAAGTCTGTTAAGCTGATAGTACATATCTCTAAGGAGGCTGGGTGTAGATCAGTGCTTAGAGAATATTTATAGCACTTTATTTATATAAATAGAATATTTATAGCACTTATAACACCACTGTTAACAACTAAATACTTGCTTTAGAAAAGAAGAAAGACATCAAATTAATAATTTAAGTCTCTACCTTAAACTATAGAAAGAAAACTAATCTAAACTAGTTTTCAAATAAGAAACTAACAAAAGAGCAGAAATCAATGAAATTGAAAGCAGGAAGAACAATAGAGAAAATTAATAAAACTAAAATCTAGTTCTTTAAAATGTCAATAAAATTGGGGTACCTGGGTGGCACAGTTGGTTAAGCATCGAAAACTCTTGGTTTCAGCTCAGGTTGTGATCTCAGGGGTTGTAAAGTTGAGCCCCGCATTAGGCTCTGAGCTCAGTATGGAGTCTACTTGAGACTCTCTCCCTCTCCCTCTGTCCCTCCCCCATTCTCTCTCTCTCTCTCTCTCTCAAATAAATATTAAAATAAATATTTTTGAAAATGTCAATAAAATGTGTAAACTTCTAGTCAGATTGACAAAGCAAAAAAAGAAAGTGAAAAATTGCCATTACCAGGAATGACGGGGATATCACCACTGACTCCACAGATATCAACATGATAATAAGAGACTGCCACAAACCAATCTATTAACATTTATAAATAAGATGACTTAAATGGATAAATTTCCAAAACTAATTCAATAATAAATTGATAGCCTGGATAGTCTTATCTATTAAAGAAATTGAATTTATACCTTCCAGGGTGCGTAGGTGGCTCAGTCAGTTAAGCGTCTGCCTTCAGCTCAGGTCCATGATCCCAGGGTCCTGGGATTGAGCCCCACATCGGGCTTCCTGCTCAGCAGGAGTCTGCCTCTCCCTCTCGTGCTTTCTCTCCCTCTCCAATAAATAAATAAAATCTTTAAAATAAATACATACATACATATGTATATACATATATACCTTCTAAAAGGGAAAACTCCAGGCCAAAGTGGTTTCACTGGTGAATTCTGTTGAACATTTAATGGAGAAACAACACCAATTCCTCATAATCTCTTCAGAAAACAGAAAAGTGGAATCACTTCCCAACTCATTATATGAAGGCAATACTATCCTCTTATTGAAACCATACAAAAATAGTACAAGAATACATCTGAAACTCCTGTAACACTGTATATTAATTTTACTGGTTAAAAATCACAAAAGTAGCACAAGAAAACTACAATATTTCTTAGGAACATAGATGCAAACCAGATCCAGCAATATATAAAAAAATAATACATTACACCAGGTAGTTTATCTTGGGAATGCAAGATTGCTTCAACATTTGGTAATTAATCAATATAATGATAGTGGACCAAATTCATATTTAGTAAAATGAAACTAAATGATCATATCCATAGATGTAGAAAAAGCATTTGACAAAATTCAGTGTCCATTTTATGATCAAAGCTCTCAGCAAACTAGAAATAGAAATAGAATCTCTACAAAAATCCTATAGCCACCTTCATATTTAAAGATGGAAAACTGGGGGCACCTGGGTGCTACAGTCAGTTAAGCATCTCACTCTTGGTTTCCACTCAGGTCATGATCTCAGGGTCGTGGGATCAAGCCCCACGTCAGGCTCAGCACGGAGTCTGCTTAAGATTCTCTCTCCCTCTGCTCTTCCCACCCCCTGCGCTCTTGCTCTCTCTCTCAAATAAATAAATAAATAAATCTTTAGGAGGAAAAAGATGGAAAACTGAGTGCTTTTCTTGTAAGAAGAGAACTAGGTGAGAATGTCTACTCTCACCAGTCCTCTAGTCCCTGTTATACTCTAAGTCCTAGCAAATCATTAAGAATAGAAAAAGAGGGGCTCCAGGGGGCTTAGTCTGTTAGTGTCTGACTCTTGGTTTTTGCTCAGGTTGTGATCTCAGGGTCGTAGGATTGAGACCAATGTCAAAGGCTCAGCACAGAGTCCGCTTGAGATTTTCCTCTCCCTCTCCTTCTGCCCCTCCCCCTGCTTGCACCATGCTTTCTCTCTCTCCAATAAATAGATCTTAAAAAAAAAAAAAAAAGAATAGAAAAAGAAATAAAAGTCATTTACCTTGGGAAGGAAGGAATAAAACTATTTGCAGATAATATGATTATATAGATAATCCTAATGAATTTACCAAAAATCTCTTGTGTTTAATGAGTGTAGCAACATTGCAGGACACGATCAATACACAAAATTTAATCATATTTCTATATACTAACAACGAACAATTGGAAACTGACATTTTGAAAAAGCATTGTTTACAATAACTCTAAAAATAAAATACTCAGATATCAATCTAACAAAATATGTACAGGATCTAAAAACAAAACAAAGATGACCAAATAAAAATACATTTATTCCATAAAATGGTATAAAAAGAAACCTTTGTAATCTACCACTGTTAACATTTTGATATATATCTTTCCTGACTTTTATGTATATATTTGGTTAAACCAAAATGGTAGTTTTCATTTGCTACTCCTTTTCTTAAAATGTACTGTGGGGGCGCCTGGGTGACTCAGTCAGTTAAGCATCTGCCTTCGGCTCAGGTCATGATTCTAGGATCCTGGGACCAAGTCCTGCTTCAGCTCCGTGCTCAATGGGGAGCCTCCTGCTCCCCCTGCTTGTGCTCACTCACGCTCTCTCGCTCGCTCGCTCTCTGACAAATAAAATCTTAAAAAAAAAACAAAAACTTATATTGCCCTCATAGTTCTGTCAATTTCTATCCCAATCAACACTTTCTCTATAACTTCACTCTTAGCTTTTCTACAGAAATCTAACCTTAAAATATTCTTGCTTGAGCTTCGCCAACCATGAAATTTATGTTTAATTATTATGGAGCTGTCATGACTTCTTCAGTTTTCTTAGCAATGATCTGTGTTAAACATTTGATAATCCCAAATCATTGATTTCCCAAAGTTCTAGTAATAATTATAATAATAACAGCTACATTTTACTGAGAGCTCACTACTTTTCTGGCACTGTATAAAGCACTTTAAATCTTAATCTTTTTTGATGACAGTTATTGTCAACTTCATCTTACAGATGAGGATACTAGGCCTCAGAGAATTAAGTAGCTTTGTACCCAGGCCTAACTCCAGAATTATATTCTTTTTTTTTTTAAGATTTTATTTATTTATTTGCAAGAGAGAGGCACCAAGCTGGGTGTAGGGGGCAGAAGGAAAGGGAGACGCAGGCTCCCCGCTGAGCCCAGGGTAGGGCTGATCCCAGGACCCCAAGATCAAGATCATGACCTGAGCCGAAGGCAGGCACTTAACCAGTTGAGACCCTCAGGTGCCCCCATAATTATGTTATATTCTTAACCACGGTCTTTTGTACTACCTCTCTAAAAGATGTCTTTAACTGTTTTCGATGTCATTTGGTATTGATTTTTTGAAACAAATTAATACTGTTAATTTAGTTCCTGGTAGATGAATATCAGTGTGAGATAAGTCAGTCTTACCACTTGTCTTTTTCAAAGCTGTAAAATTTTAATTTCAGGGCTTAAAGTTATATCTTTTTTTTTTTAGATTTTATTTATTTATTTGAGAGAGAGAATGAGATAGAGAGAGAGAGCATGAGAGGGGAGAGGGTCAGAGGGAGAAGCAGACTCCCCGCTGAGCAGGGAGCCCGATGCGGGACTCGATCCCGGGACTCCAGGATCATGACCTGAGCCAAAGGCAGTCGCTTAACCAACTGAGCCACCCAGGCGCCCCAAAGTTATATCTTGATAGAACCTATTATCGGGGTCTATTTTATCCTGAAAACTGGAAAAGTATGTGAATTAATTTGCTAATAACTAGGATGTTATTCAGAGAGCAGCAGTCCAAATGATGAAATTTTTCGTTGTGAGAGATTTGCCCCTGTAGATTTCTTTTGTCTTTGGCATTGCCTTCCAGGTCCCCAGTAGTAGTATGGATGTGGTTACTCTTTCTTCTACTTTATTTAAGCTTGAGTCTCATTGCCTTAAACACCAAAGGATCCCAAAGGAAGATCATTTTATTTGACTGTATGAGGTTAATAATTCTGAGTTTCAAAATCCTGTTTTGAGGTACATTACATTTTTGAAGTTCTTCACATGTTTATTGTTTAATTTTTTAAGTTTTACAAAATACAGATAGGTTATAATTAGAATCATATGCTTCATTAAAGGAACTTATTCTAATAGAACAAGAAAATACTGTTGGTTACCAGCTTCTTTCCTTTTTTGCATGATTTTATTGGGTCAGATTTTTAAAATTAAATATATGATTCAGTGCTATTATTTATTGCTGTTTCAGGAGTTTTTTGTGGAACCATTTAATAGAAAAGCCCGCCAAGAGAACCTGAGGTATAATAATACACTTAAACAACTTAGCAATCAACAGTTAATCACTCTGAGACGCTGGAAGGCAGTACAGCTCTATCTTACATCTGAAAGGGGACCTTGGGCTGAAAGGTAGGAGGATATTATTTATTAAATACCCTTTCTTCTTTAGAACTCTTGCCTAGAACTTTTTGAGCCAGTGACCTCTCCAATCCAATTTTTAAAACATTCAACTTATAAAAAAATAGCTTTTAATTAATTTGGTTGTCTTTTTGTGAATTACAGGTCTGGGATGTTTAGAGCTTTGTATATATGTTTTTCACCATGGAGTTGTTTCCCTTCCTTTTACCATGTGATGTAGAATTAAGTCTTTTTTTTTTTTTTTTTTAAAGATTTTATTTATTTATTTGAGAGAGAGAGAATGAGAGATAGAGAGCACGAGAGGGAAGAGGGTCAGAGGGAGAAGCAGACTCCCCACCGAGGAGGGAGCCCGATGCGGGACTCGATCCCGGGACTCCAGGATCATGACCTGAGCCGAAGGCAGTCGCTTAACCAACTGAGCCACCCAGGCGCCCGAATTAAGTCTTTTTTTAATTTATTTTTATTTAAATTTTAGTTAGTGAACATGCAGTGCAATATTGGTTTCTAAAGTAGAATTCGGTCTTGAATCTGTCTTCCTGATACTGCCTCTTTGAGCTAGAGTTAGAGATGTTATGTGTTTCAGTATTTTACAGTTTATTTACTTGATCCTAAATCACATATGTTTTGATGAATTATAATATATATATAATAATGTAATATATAGCATATATATTACACCCCTTTTATTGTGGTAAAATACACATAATATAAACTTTACCATTTTACCATTTAAAAATATACAATTTAGTGACATTAAGTACATTCATAATGTGCAATCATTACCACTGTCCACCTTCAGAACATTTTCATTACTGCAAAAAGAAACCCTGGACCCATTTGGCAGTCATTCTCTATTCCTTTACCCAGCTCCTGGCAACCACCAATCCATTTTCTGTCTCTATGAATTTGCCTATTCTTGATATTTATATAAATGGATTCATACAATATGTGACCTTAACCCTTTCACTTAGCATTATGTTTTCATTATATTGTGGCATGTATCAGTACTTCTTTTTTAAAGGCCACATAATATTCCATTGTGTGGATATACCACATTTTGTCTATTCATTCATCAGATGATAGACATTTGGGTTGTTTTTTTTTTATGGCTATTGTAAATAGTACTGCTATGAACATTTGTGAACAAGTGTTTGTTTCAACATGTATTTTCAATTCTTTTTTTTAAGATTTTGTTTATTTGAGAGAGAGAGCATGAATGAGGTGAAGGGCAAAGGGAAGGGCAGGCTCTACCCTGAGCAGGGAGCCTGATGCGGGGCCTCGACTCCAGGATCATGACCTGAGCCAAAGGCAGACACTTAACCGACTGAGCCACCCAGGCGCCCCTCAACATCTGATTTTTAATTCTTTTAAGTATATACCTACAAGCAAAATTGCTAGGTCATGTGATAATCCAGTGTCTAACTTACTGAGGAATTGCCAGTTTTCCACAGCAACTGCACCATTTAACATTCTCATTAGCATTGTTTGCAGGTTCTAGTTTCTCCACAACCTTACCGGTACTTGTAAAATTTTTCCAGTTTTTTTATTATGACCATCCTAGTGGATGTGAAGTGGTATCTTATGGTTTTGGTTTGTATTTCCTAATGACGAGTCATGTTGAGTATCTTTTCATGTACTTGTTGGCCATTTGTATATCTTTTTTTGAAGAAATGTCTATTCAAGTTCTTTGCTCACTTTTAAATTAGATTGTTTGATATTTTGTGGTTGAGTTGTAAGTTATTTTTCTCAGTAATAGACCCTTATCAGATATATGATTTGTAAATATGTAGATTGTCTTTTCACTTTCTTGATAATTGCCTTTGGTATACAAAAATTTTTTAATTTTAAAGTCCAATTTACCTCTTTTTTTCTCTTGTTGTTTATGTTTTTGGTATAATATCTAAGAAACTATTCCCAAATCCAAGTTCACAAAGACTTACTCCTGTCTTTTCTTCTAAGAGTTTTAGCTCTTATGTTTAGATCAATTATATTCTCTTTATTTGTAGTAAAATTATTTTATTTTGAACACTGTATTAGAATAAATTGATTGTATAGCTAATTAAGAACTTCCATTTAACAGTTAAAGAGTAAAAGATATCAGCTGTAAGTGTGAAGATTTATGTTCAATTCTTATTTCTAATACCTGTAAACACCTTGGCATCTCAGGCAAATAATTTAGCCTGTCTTAGGTTTCTTCATGTATAAACTGCAGCTATGCATATCCACACTGGTTTTCTTTCAGGGTTGTTTGGGTCGAGTGACATGATGAATGTGACTGTTTTTATAAAATGGTGCTAAACAAATGTAAAATTCTTGATACTTTCTTACTCTATTTCATTCAACCAATCTTTGTAACTTCAAGCTAAGTAATTTTACTTGTTTACTTATGAAAATTCATAGGAAACAAAATCCAATTCACTGGAAACTAGCTAACGTAGAAAATTATTCCCGCATGAGACTTAAATTGGTGCCAAATTATAACTTCAAAACTCATGAAGACGCTAGTGCTTTGAGAGATAATCTAGGTGAGTTCCGATGCCTGTTTAATTATTTGTTGAAGATAGGGTATTGGTGGGTTGGTTATTGTTTTTATTAATTGTTTCAAAATTGCTTACTCATGAAGGAAGGGTGACACTTTATTTCGTTTTCAAAATGTTAAGATACTGTTTACAAAGCTCTTTTGTACAGAAATTAGTTGATATTTAAATGGTTGTATATGTTAAATTCTGTTACCTTTGGTCTAAATCTAAGATGACTTCCTATATCAATTAATTGTAATTTTTCAAAGAAAAACATAATTACATTCATAAAATTATACTGTAGTTTGTGTGCAGTGCACTGTCTCTTGTATCCATTATGGTACATTGAAACAGTGGTTCTTTTCCCTTAGTCTTCTGCTTACCAAGACTGAGGCTAATGTTAGATATATTTAGAATTCTTAGCAATCCTTTAGATCTTTCTTTTATAACCTGTTCTTTTTAGATTCTTAGTATCTTAGATGGGTTAATGCCTTTTTCTAGAGAAAAGCGCAAAAACACATAGCTTAGCAGTATTTCAAAACAGATTTTAAAGAGTCTCTACAGCTCTTTAGGAAACCTTGCCTTTCTAACCATCTGAGTGCATATCTCCCTTTTTGAAGACAGGTCTGTGAAATACCCAAAATATTGATTGTTGAGTCATTGACAGTCATGTGTATACTAAATTGCTTTATCATAACCACCTTGTGTTCAGTGACTAAGTTTTAGATGAAATTCAAGTACCCATTTTTAAATCTTTTTAAAGTTGCATTAATATATTGGCCAATACAGATGCCATAAATTAATCAAGAGTGCTACTATCTGTGATGGCTGCCATTTACAGTCTTACATCCTAAAATAAATCCAACACAGTAACTCATTTCCCTTAATGCAAAATAATGGCCCTACCCATGAAAGAAACTAACTTTAAGAGTATCTTAATATAGGAAGTCACTTGCATATAACTTGTTCTCCCTCTATGTATTTACTCCTTGAAATTTGACTGTGCTTATCACTCAGCAAATATCTTTGGTGAATGACTTGAATTTAATAATACTTAAAGAATAGTGTCCCCTATTTTTTCTTCTTTTTTGCCAAGAAATCCCCCCAGGAAATTTCCTGTTCCTCTTCCTCTCCTCACCCCTTTATACAGGTACACAGATATAATTTTATGTCTCTTCCTCTTGGTTTTAATTAAGTCTAGGAAAACTTGTGTTCTTCCGTTTTTTCATCTCTCAGTTTTTCTCCTTACCTAGTTTTCAAATATACCCCAAGTATAATAGTGACAGTAAGATAGTACAGAAGAAACAAAAATTCATACATTTTAAAGTGAAATTGGAAATAGTACAAAACCAGTGGCATCAATTTCTAAAGCTCTTTAAGTTTCCCTGAAGTATACTTCAGAATTAGCTGTAAAATATTCTACCTACCTAAGAATACTTACAGACAAAAATAAGTAGAAAATTATTCCTGCATGACTTAAATTCGTGCCAAATTATAACTTCAAAACTCATGAAGACGCTAGTGCTTTTATTTTATTTGTAGTAAAATTATTTTATTTTGAATACTGTATTAGAATAAATTCATTGTATAGCTAGTTAAGAACTTCCGTTGAACAAAGAGTAAAAGATATCAGGTCTTTATTTTTGTCTGTATTTTCATCAGCTGCCAGAATTCATGGTATTTTAAAAATATTTTCTTATTTTGTTTTGTTTCACATACCCCAGTACTGCTTTGCAAGCATCCCATTGCAAATGTACAGAATAGTTTTTACATTGTGGGCTAAATTACAAAGTTAACCATTATCTGTAACATTTTTGATGGGAAATTCATTGTGAATTAAACAAGTGATTTGTGAAGTATCTTTTGGAACACAACCACTTACAAATTATGGAATTTAAATAGTCAAAAAGTGTATTCTTAAATATATCATTAAAAATATTTGGGTTTAGGGGCGCCTGGGTGGCTCAGTTGTTAAGCGCCTGCCTTTGGCTCAGGTCATGATCCCAGGGTCCTGGGATCGAGCCCCGCATCGGGCTCCCTGCTCCACAGGAAGCCTGCTTCTGCCTCTCCCACTCCCCCTGCTTGTGTTCCCTCTCTCACTGTGTCTCTCTCTCTGTCAAATAAATAAATAAAATCTTTAAAAAAAAAATAGTTACTTGTTCTAGGAAAAGTGTGAGCCAGTACTTCTTAGGTATAGACAAAGGTGTGATCAAAGCAGATTTACATAGAAAAATGCAACTATACATTACGTTGATTCATTTTTTTATGTCTGAGCAGTGATACCAGTTGAGGAACTAAGGAAGGATTTGTCATCTTTATAATGTTTTGTTACTTCGGGTTTTTTTGTTTTCTTCTTTTTTATTAAAGAGGGAGAGATGGAGGGGCAGAGGAAGAGAGAGAATCTTAACCAGGCTTCACACCCAGCACAGAGCCTGACTCAGGGCTTGACCTCACAACCCTGAGATCATGACCTGACCTGAAACCAAGAGTCAGACATTTAACTGAAATAGCCACCCAGGTACCCCTATAAGGTTCTGTTACTTGGTTTGAATTATTTTTATTTCCCACAACTGAAATATCTTTATTCATAGTTACATACATAAATTTTTCCCAGTCCTACCTATAAATTATACAGTTATTTTTATTACTATTCTTATGTCACTCAGGTAATTGAGAGGTGAATGTATATAATAATGATAGCTGCCATTTATTTTATACTTACTGTGATGTGATGTATCTCCTTTCACAGTTAAGTAAACAGATTCAGAGGAGTCACCTGGTTAATAAATGGCAGAACAGAATTTGAGTATAAGTTTACCACTTCACAGCCTTTGTTCTTCCCATTACACTAGCCCTGCCTTCTTACAAAATGTATAGTTTATAAAATGCATTACATTTATTGTGTATATTTGTATCCAGAATTACTTACTAAATTTCATGTGCTCCAGAAAAAAAGAAACTTCAGCTCTTGGGTTATGTATTCTCTTCCAATTAAAGATAATTTGTCATCTTCTTTCTTAATATTTCCTTAGTACAAATACAAAGTCAAAATAGTTCTATTAAATTAATACAGTGAGGATAATTCTTTCTGTAACTTTTTGGCATGCTTTAGAATGAAATTAGATTAAAGAGATTACATGGCCCATTTTTAAATATAAATAATACCATCATTAAAATAGATAACGTATTTTTAAAACATTTATTCCTTTTATTATACATGTAATAGTTTTTAAGATCACAAACAACCTAGATTATTTTAAATCATGTATAAAAACTATTCTGTAGTGAAGAGCAGAGGGAGAGAGAGAGAATCCCAAGCACACTCCACTCTGAGCACAGAGCCCCACATAGTGCTCAATCCCACAACTCCACCTGAGCTGAAACCAAGAGTCAGATGCAAAACCAACTTAGTCACTCAGGGGCCCTGTAAATTGTTTTTTTATCTTAGACAACTTTATGTCCTTCTTAGTTTTTTCCAGTTTTATTAAGATATAATTGACATACAGTACTGTATAAGGTGTAGAGCATAATGACCTGAGATATGCACATATTATAAAATGATTACAGTAATGTACAGTTAACCATCACATCATAAAGTTACAAAATTTTTTTTTCCCTTATGATGAGAACTTTTAGGATCTACTCTCTTAGCAACTTTCAAATATGCCATATAGCATTGTTAACTAGTCATCATGCACATTACATCCCCAATACTTAATTATCTTACAACTGGAAGTTTATACCTTTTGACTCCCTTCACCCAATTCCCCTATCCTTCTCCTTTACTTAAAATACACATTATGATGATGATGTAATTAACAGTCAGAAATTACAGAAGGACTGTAATGAGGTTATTTTTTTTTACCGTGTTTAATAGATATTTTGTATTTATTTAAACAGGCGTCCAACACTCACAGCCTTCCAGTGATTCATTGCTTTTGGAAGTAGTGAAACAAGTAAAAGTTAGCAATATGGAGGAGGATAAATTAGACCTTCCTGAAGAAGACTTAACAGCCAGAGTAAATATGTATGTATCAGTATTTAAAGGAATTAAAAATTATTTTGTTCTGAAAAATGGGGTTATAAAATTGTGGAAGATGTTTGCTTATAATCCTAAGTACATTGACCCTTGAATAATAAAGGTTTGAACTGCATGGGCCCACTTATTTACACTTTATTTCAGTAAATACAGTATAGTACTATATATTCTCTTCTGAATAATTTTCTTAAAAATATTTTCTCTAGCTTACTGTAAGAATACAATATGTATTAATTGACTGTGTATATTATTGGTAAGGCTTCTGGTCAACGATAGGCTATTAATAGCTAAAGTTTTAGGGAGTCAGATTTATTCATGGATTTTTGACCACACAGGGTTCAGTGCCAGTAACCCCTGCATTATTCAAGGGTCAACTATATTTCCAGAATCCATCTGTTACTGCTGTATCAGATGTTAGGTGTCTATCAGTATTAACAGAAAATATACTGATTTCCTTATCTCTCTTTTTTGTTATTGTTGTCATCAATATAGGCTTTCATATGTTTTAACACCAAAAATACAGTTTATTTTTTTATTTTATTTTTAAATTTAAATTCAGTTAATTAACATATAGTGTAGTATTAGTTTCAAAGGTAGAGTTCAGAGATCCATCAGTGTTATATAATACACAGTGCTCATTACATCACATGCCTTCCTTAATTGCCCATCACCCAGTTACATCATCCCCCCACTAACCTCCCCTCCAACAACCCTCAGTTTGTTCCCTGTAGTTAAGAGTCTCTTATGGTTTGTTTCCCTCTCTGTTTTTATCTTATTTTATTTTTCCTTCCCTTCCCCTATGTTCATCTGCCTTGTTTCTTAATATCCACATATGAGTGAAATCATATGGTATTTGTCTTTCCCTGACTGACTTATTTTGCTTAGCATAATACCCTCTAGTTCCATCCATATCATTGCAAATGGCAAGATTTTTTTTTTTGATGGCTGAGTAGTATTCCATTCTCTATATATACCACATCGTCTTTCTCCATTCATCAGTGTTTTGGGGTTTTTTTTTAATTAATTAATTTTTTTTTATTATGTTAGGTTAGTCACCATACAGTACATCATTAGTTCCATCCATCAGTTGATGGACATCTGGGTTCTTTCCATAGTTTGGCTATGGTAGACATTGCTGCTATAAACATTGGGGTGCAGGTGCCCCTTTGGATCACTACATTTCTATCTTTGGGTTACCCCAGTACCTAGTAGTGTAATTGCTGGGTTGTAAGTACCTCCATTTTCAATTTCTTGAGGAACCTCCATACTGTTTTCCAGAGTGGCTGCACCAGTTTGCATTCCCACCAACAGTGTAGGAGAGTTCCTCTTTCTCCGCATCTTTGCCAACATCTGTCATTTCCTGACCTATAGCCATTCTGCCCAGTGTGAGGTGGTACCTCATTGTGGTTTCGATTTGTATTTCTCTGATGCCAAGTGACGTTGAACACTTTTTCATGTGTCTATTGGCCATTTTGATGTCTTCTTTGGAGAAATGTCTGTACTCCCCATTTCTTGATTGGATTATTTGTTCTTCGGGTGTTGAATTTAATAAGTTCTTTATGGGTTTTGGATACTAGCCCTTTATCTGATAAGAAATTTGCAAATATCTTTTCCATTCTGTCTGTTGTCTTTTGGTTTTGTTTCCTTTGCTATGCAAAAGCTTTTTATCTTGATGAAGTCCCAGTTTTCATTTTTACCTTTGTTTCCCTTGCCTTTGGAGACCTGTCTAGCAGGAATTTGCTGCAGCCAAGGTCACAGAGGTTGCTGCCTGTGTTCTCTAGGAATCTGATGGATTCCTGTCTCACATTTAGGTCTTTCTTCCATTGTGAATTTATTTTTGTGGGTGGTGTAAAAACCTGGTCCAGTTTCATTCTTCTGCATGTGGCTGTCCTATTTTCCCAACACCATTTGTTGAAGAGATTGTCTTTTTTCCACTGGTTATTCTTTCCTGCTTTGTCAAAGATGAGTTGACCATAGAGTTGAGGGTCCATTTCTGGGCTCTCTATTCTGTTCCATTGATCTGTGTGTCTGCTTTTTTGCCAGGACCATACTGTCTTGATGATTACAGCTTTGTAATAGAACTTGAAGTCCAGAATTGTGATGTCACCAGCTTTGGTTTTCTTTTTCAACATTCCTTTGGCTATTTGGGGTCTTTTCTGGTTCCATACAAATTTTAGGATTATTTGTTCCATTTCTTTGAAAAAAGTTGATGGTATTTTGGTCGGGATTGCTTTACATGTGTAGATTGCTCTAGGTAGCATAGACGTTTTCACAATATTTGTTCTTACCAATCCATGAGCATGGAACGTTTTTCCACTTCTTTGTGTCTTCCTCAATTTCTTTCATGAGTATTCTATAGTTTTCTGAGTACAGATTCTTTGCCTCTTTGGTTATATTTATTCCTAGGTATCTTATGGTTTTGGGTGCAATTGTAAATGGGATCGACTCCTTAATTTCTCTTTCTTCTGTCTTGTTGTTGGTGTATAGGAATGCCACTGATTTCTGTGCATTGATTTTATATCCTGCCACTTTACTGAATTCCTGTATGAGTTCTAGCAATTTCGGGGTGGAGTCTTTGGGGTTTTCCACATAAAGTATCATACCATCTGCAAAAAGTGAGAGTTTAACTTCTTTGCTGATTCAGATGCCTTTTATTTCTTTTTGTTGTCTGATTGCTGTGGCTAGGACTTCTAGTACCATGTTGAATAGCAGTGGTGATAGTGGACATCCCTGCCGTGTTCCTGACCTTAGGGGAAAAGCTCTCAGTGTTTCCCCATTGAGAATGATATTTGCTTTGTGTTTTTCATAGATGGCTTTTATGATATTGAGGTGTGTACCCTCTATCCCTACACTGTGAAGAGAAGAATGGATGCTGTACTTTGTCAAATGCTTTTTCTGCATCTATTGAGAGGATCATATGGTTCTTATCCTTTCTTTTATTAGTGTATTGTATCACATTGATTGATTTGCGGATGTTGAACCAACCTTGCAGCCCAGGGATAAATCCCACTTCGTCGTGGTGAATAATCCTTTTAATGTACTGTTGGATCCTGTTGGCTAGTATTTTGGTGAGAATTTTTGCATCCATGTTCATCAGGGATATTGGTCTGTAGTTCTCCTTTTTGATGGGGTCTTTCTCTCGTTTTGGGATCAAAGTAATGCTGGCCTCATAAAATGAGTTTGGAAGTTTTCCTTCCATTTCTATTTTTTGGAACAGTTTCAGAAGAACACGTATTAATTCTCCTTTAAATGTTTGGTAGAATTCCCCTTGGAAGACATTTGGCCCTGGGTTCTTGTTTGTTGGGAGATTTTTCGTTACTGCTTCAATTTCCTTAGTGGTTATGGGTCTGTTCAGATTTTCTATTTCTTCCTGGTTCGGTTTTGTTAGTTTATACATCTCTAGGAATGTATCCATTTCTTCCAGATTATCTAATTTGCAGGCATATAGTTGCTTATAATATATTCTTTTAACTGTATTTCTTTGGTGTTGATTGTGATCTTTCCTCTTTCATTCATGATTTTATTTATTTGGGTTCTTTCTCTTTTCTTTTTGATAAGTCTGGCCAGGGGTTTATCAATCTTGTTAATTCTTTCAAAGAACCAGCTCCTAGTTTCATTGATCTGTTCTGTTCTTTTGGTTTCTAGTCCATTGATTTCTGGTCTAATCTCTATTATTGCTCTTCTCCTGCTGGGTTTAGGCTTTATTTGCTGTTCTTTCTCCAGCTCCTTTAGCTGTAGTGTTAAGTTGTGTATTTGAGACCTTTCTTGTTTCTTGAGAAAGGCTTGATTATATACGTTCCTCTTAGGACCGCCTTTGCTGCATCCCAAAGATTTTGAACAGTGTGTTTTCATTTTCATTTGTTTCCATGAGTTTTTTTAATTCTTCTTTAATTTCCTGGTTGACCCATTCATTCTTTAATAGGGTGCTCTTTAGCCTCCATGTATTTGAGTTCTTTGTGACTTTCCTCTTGTGATTGAGTTCTAGTTTCAAAGCATTGTGGTCCGAAAATATGCAGGAATGATCCCAATCTTTTGGTACCAGTTGAAACTTGATTTGTGACCCAGGATGTGATTTATTCTGGAGAATGTTCCATGGGCACTAGAGAAGAATGTGTATCCTGTTGCTTTGGAATGGAATGTTCTGAATATATCTGGGAAGTTCCTCTGGTCCAGTGTTTTATCTAAAGCCTTTATTTCCGTCTTGATCTTTTGCTTAGATGATCTATCCATTTCAGTGAGGGGGGTGGTAAAGTCCCGTACTATTATTGTCAATGTGTTTCTTTGTGAGGCTAGGACTTCTAATACTGTGTTGAATAACAGTGGTGATAGTGGACATTCCTGTCATGTTCCTGACCTTAGGAGAAGAACTCTCAATATTTCCCCATTGAGTGTGATATTTGCTGTGGGCATTTTGTATATGGCTTTTATGATCTTGAGGTATGTTCCCTCTGTCCCTACACTGTGAAGAGTTTTAATCAAGAATGGATGCTGTACTTTGTCAAATGCTTTTTCTGCATCTCTTGAGAGTATCATATGGTTCTTGTTCTTTCTTTTATTAATGTATTGTATCACATTGATTTGCAGATGTTGAACCACCCTTGCAGCCCAGGAATAAATCCCACTTGGTCATGGTGAATAATCCTTTTAATGTAGTGTTGGATCCTATTGGCTGGTATCTTGTTGAGAATTCCTTGTTCATCAGGGATATTGGTTTGTAATTCTCCTTATTTGGTGGGGTCTCTGTCTGGCTTTGGGATCAAGGTAATGCTGGCCTCATAGAAAGAGTTTGGAAGTTTCCTTCCATTTCTATTCTTTTGAAACAGCTTCAGAGGAATAGATATTAATTTTTCTTAAATGTTTGGTAGGATTCCCCTAGGAAGCCATCTGGCCCTGGGCTCTTGTTTGTTGCGAGATTTTTGATTCCTCTTCAGTTTCCTTGCTGGTCATGGGTCTGTTTAGGTTTTCTCTTTCTTCCAGTTTCAGTTTTG